CATTTCGGTTCAGCCTTTGCGGTCTATGACGACTATGAAGAGCCACACCTCTGAAGCATGCGGCCCCCGAGCTGTTATTTGGTTGCAGGCACATAAGTTTACTGTGTGTGACAGTCCAGTGGGATCTGATAGCATCTCAGAGCAACTTGATATATTTAAATTGCCTTAATTCATAAATGCATAATCCTCATTTACTTTATTTGTAATTTATTCTTTTTCTTCTTTGATAATCTTTTTCTTGATTTTATAACATTATCTTTTGAATAGTTTGTCTCCTGCTTTTGTGCTTTTCATTCTGTCTTTTTTTTGTTGATTTCCTCCTTTTCTTACTTGTGTGTTATAAACAGCACAAATACATTTAAATGTATCACATATGAATTATATTCACATTGATTGCAAACAACAAATCTCCAAACGACTGTAGATCAATTCTGAGATAGATAGATAGATAGATAGATAGATAGATAGATAGATAGATAGATAGATAGATAGATAGATAGATAGATAGATAGATAGATAGATAGATAGATAGATAGATAGATACTTTATTTATCTCCTAGGGGAAATTCATGTGGAGATGTTTGCTTTTCACTGGACAGAAGCAACACCTGTGACAGTGACATAGTTCAAAGGTAAAACATGTGAAAACTAAAAATTTCACACCTAATAAATTGAGCATCATGTGACCATAAGTTTGGTTGTTGTTAAGGGGACTAAGTGAGAGAAGTAAAAGTGCTCCTTCAAAAGTTTTATCAGGACCCTCATGTTACACTGTATTTATCTGCTGGTCTGCTGTTAATAACAAGCACTGTCCATTCAGTGATGTTCTGTCTCTGTCAATGATATACAAACTACAAATTTCACACCTAATAAATTCACGTTTTTCAGTCGTTTTGTGATAAATTCACTAACTGATTCTGAACATAGACCTGAGTCAGACTGTGAACCCTGATCTGACAGCTGATATCTGTGTATTTCTTGGCTCATTGTAAAGAATGTTCCACCAGTAAATAAAAGCCCTGACAGTGTTGCTGCAGGTGAAGTGCTTCTCTGCTCAGCCTCTGTTCACCTGATTGATCAGGACGCTCCAACTGAGGGAACACTGACAGATTGATCAATATCTGATTGTTGTGTCAGCTCGCTGCCACGGGGGACGACTGAAGACTCCCCTGACACTGAGAGCCCAGTGGAGACTCACTCTGACACCTGAATACCTCCCTGCTGGAGGCGGGTCCTGCACAGCTGTTTCTCTCCATTTTGACCAGAATGAAACTTGTGAAATGTTTCATATCCCTGAACTGTGGTCAGAGACAGAGCTGTCACTCATCAATGGATGGGATTTATTGTTCCTGAGTTAAAGTGGGCCTCTGTGGCTTCCTGTGTAGCTCCTAGTCCTCCACCCTCTGTTCTTAGACCCTTGATCCAGATTAAGAAAAACACCTTCAACAGGGGACCAGACCAGGAGTCTACAGCCATGCTAACAGCTCTGTCAGGCACCATGTTTAGCGTGTTAGCATGCTAACACTTGATAATCAGCAATAAACACAGTGTCCAGCTGAGGCTGATGGGAACACATTAACATGAACATCTGAACCAATCGGACTCCCTATGTAGTCCACTATATAGAGAGTTTGCCATTTTGTAGTGCTGTCCAAATGTATAGTGAGACACATTACACCCTATAAAGTGGACTCATCCCACAATGCATTATGAAAAGTAGTGTACAGGACAGATGTCAGGGCAGATGTTACAGATGTTGTCTTCAGACAAAAACAGAATGACCTCTAACCCAAAGCTGCTTCTGAAGTCAGTTGTTCCTATTAATGAAACACTGGTGAATTTTAACCCTTCTTATCATTATCATTGCACCAGAAACAGCTACAAGCTCATGTGACGCAAACTTTGAATTAAAACATGACGCTTTGACAACACACAATGAAACATTGTGTGTATATATATATACATATATATATATACATAATGTTTTATTGTGTGCTTCACATGGTGAATGATATTACACAGTAAACCAACAGTGGACATAAACTGTTGTGACATCCTGTTTTCTTCTTTAAAACAAGAAGTTGCAGCCTGATAAAGGTTCAGACTCCTCAGAGCCCCTGTATAATTCACACCTGTTAGATCAGGATTCAATTCACAATCACACTCATTAATGTTGAGGCCTGGCGCAGCTCAGCTCCACCATAACTCAGTGAGCTGCTGATCCAAACACTGTTGGCAGGTTTATCAGAACAGCAGCGTCTGACAGCAGGACAAATTAAAGTGCATCGATAAGACATAAAAATGCTGCGAGACAATATATAAAATAAACACAAGGTGACAAATATACATTCATTCTGTGGTTCATATTTTAGCAGTGCTTTGTCAGTCTGTCCACCAATGAGGTATCCCCACCTTACAGAGCTGCAATCATGGCTGGAGACTCTTAGACTGGTTTTTCCACATATTTCTGTGGATCTTTTGCTTTTACCAAGTAGCAACAGTAAAGAGACGATATGTAGAAATAAAAAGTCTTAAATCAGCTGGTGGCTGTGGTCATGTATCCTCCCCTCTTATGAAAAGAGGTTTGGTTGGAATCAGAACAGACAACAGTTTAAATGTTTGAGCTGCTGATTCTTTCTGTTTGTGTGTAACTCTCCTCAGCTGACAGAGTGGATCTCTCCAGCAGCAGCAGGGCTGGGTCTGAGCTGCTCTGTATGTCCGACTGATCACACTGAACTCATTAATATTCTCCTGACACAACACACTCAGATCATTCAGCCTGCAAACACAGAAACACACTCAGCACTCAGATACGAGACGATATCAATCACAGAGCAGAAAAATACATGTTCTGTGGTCTGAATCAGGTTCTGTATGGAACCACAACAACTTAAGAACCTCTGCACTGTTAGAAACAGAAGGGTAAGTGAGGTCGAAGTTAACAGAGCTGTTTATATTTGTGTTAGTTTTGCAGTAGTTCATAGGTCTGTCTTTCTCAGAGTAACATCAGATCAAACTGAGAAATCAGAATGTACCAGAGAGTAAACCAGTCAAACTGTGGGGTCTCGTAACGGTTGGTTCTGTTCAAAGGCTTCACATGAAAATTATGACAAAAAAAAAACTAAAGCTAAATAAGCTAAAGAATAATACATTTAAAAAACACACAAACTGGTGAAATGGGCAGGACTGTAGCTACCAAGCCAGCTCACTTAGCTGCTAACATCCTTGTTAGCATCTTCCTGTGTCTAGTTGCCATTAATTCAGTGAGTTAACTGTAGGCTAGTTAGTTTCCATGTAGTCAAACTGTTTCATAAACAACAGCTGAATCAGCTGTGATCAGCTCCTGTCTGCAGTGGATCATGATGTTCAGACAACTATCACTGGATTACTGTGATACTGAAGAGAATTTACAAACAGGAAGATTCTGAATGAAGTTCTGCACCCTCTGTGTCTCTGGAGCTTTATTCTGGAGGGACATCAGATAATGATAGTGAAGTCACACTGAATCAGATCAACATTTGGTTCAGGTCTGTGACTTCAGGTCTGACTCAGTCAGGACTCTAAAACGTAAGACTACATCCATCCTGGAGCTGCCACGTATTCTGATTGTTTGGTTTGTAGATGTATTCTGATTAGTTGTTTTGTAGACATATTATGATTGGTTGGTTTGTACTTGTTTTCTCTTTGGTTGGTTTGTAGACAATCCGATTGGTTGGTTTGTAGATATATTCTGATTGGTTGGTTTGTAGATATATTCTGATTGGTTGGTTTGTAGACATATTCTGATCGGTTGTTTTGTAGTTGTTTTCTCTTTGGTTGGTTGGTAGATACATTCTGATTGGTTGGTTTGTAGATGTATTTTGATTTTTGGTTTGTAGACATATTCTGATTGGTTGGTTTGTACAGGTGTTCTTTTCGGTTGGTATGTGGATGTATTCTGATTGGTTGGTTTGTAGATGTATCATGATTGGTTGGTTTGTAGACATATTCTGATTGGTTGGTTTGTACAGGTGTTCTTTTCGGTTGGTTTGTGGATGTATTCTGATTGGTTGGTTTGTATTTTTTGGTCAGAGTAGCTCACACTGAGAATTGATTGCAAATCACAGACTGGTCTGGTACATGTTGGTGTAGGGGCTGCAAGCGGAAAGAAAGGTAAACTCCCTGTTGTGTATCATTAGCTGGTTTGTGCTACTAATTGCTACTAATAAACAAACATTTAGGAATCAGCTGAGTTTTGTTGACAGTATGTGACATAGTGGTGTGAAGTATTGTGTTTAGATTATTTGGTATAATGAGGTCACATATCAAGTCCAAGACTAATTTCCACTGTGGTCATGTCAGTCTAACATCAAGTCTCATAATAAATATCATCTATCACTGACTCCAAATCAAATCATCAAGAAAAGAAAAAAAAAGAATTACATACAAATTAACTAAGATGATGAATTTACAAATCCAGGAAGAGAAGTTATGTCAAACGTGGTAAAAGGTAAATAGTAATTAGTAAAATAACTTCATTACTTTCTAACTAGTAAGAAGTAATGAGTAATTTATTACATATTTGAAATCCCCTTACCCCTCCCCCTCCCCCAGTGTCCATGTTTCCTGTTTGTCTGTCCTATCAAAATAAAGGCAAAAAGAAAAAGAAAAAAAAAATCACCTTGCAAGAAACCATCAGTGCACTGCTCAGAGACGTCACACTGCTTGAGGTTCTGACAGAATGTTATGTAACATTACAACAACAACAAGACACAGACACAGACACACACACACACCGCTCCTTTGTATCTGTATTTAAAGGTTCTGTGAGAAACCAGCAACAGAATGATGTGAAAGAACCATAAAACCCAAACAGCAGTGCTCTGTATGAAAACACACACACACACACACACACACACACACACACACACACGCACGCACACACACACACACACACACACACACACACACACATACACACACACGCACACACGCATACACACACACATACTAAATCTTACCTAGTTCCTTTATCTCCCATCCTGTCGACGCCAACGAGCCGACAGCAGCCGGACAGAGAGATGATGGAGAAGGAGGAGGAGGATGGAGGGATGCCGTCACCGTGGAAACTGAGAGGAGGGTGTCTCTCTCTCTCTCTCTCTCTCTCTCTCTCTCTCTTTCTCTCTCTCTCTCCCTCTCAGGAAGTCGTCGTCATGCCGTCAGATTCTCCTCAGCGCATGGATAAACCTCCATCTGAGCTCCGATCCACTGAACGACTGACTGAATCCACCATTCTGCTCCTCCTCCTCTTTAACTCTCCCTCCTCCCTCCCTCACTCACTGCCTCTCTCTCTCTCTCTCTCTCTCTCTCTCTCTCTCCGCCCAACACACTCATTAGCAATAAAATGTGTTAAAACATGAAACACCCAGAGGACAGATTTTATTTCTGTCTGTGACATTAACATCAAGCTGACAGCTGGACCCTGACCTCCACCATCCCTCCGTCCATCCGTCTGTTTGTCCTACAGGAAATAAATATAGATTTATATATAAGATTTATAGCACTGAAATTGAAAAGTCGTGAAATAAAATAAAATCATTAGACATTTTCTGTGTCATATTTAAATGCAAACTGTAACACCCTCACTAAAAATGTCTCTGACCATTGTCCACTGGCCTCCTCCTCTGTATGTTCTTTAGAAAAATAATTCCTCTACATGTGTAATGAATTCAACCTTAATCAACGTTAAGGTTTTATGGAAGCAGGGGTGCTGGGGGCGCTGCAGCAGCAGCACTCAAAAATGTATTTGCCAAAAAATAAATAAATAAAATAAAATGAATGAAAATTAAATAAGACTCATTGGAAACACTAATGGCTTTAAAAAATAAGCCATTAATGATCATTTTTGTCATATTAGTCAGATGACCTTACCAACGTATGTAAAGGAAATGTAGACCGAGATGTATCATTGATATTTTTGGAGACTGTCCTGTAAAAAAACAAGCTCATAGGTCGTCTGTGCAGCAGGATATTATGATCCATAGTTAGGTTATGGACATCTAGTGGTCCTAGCAATGATGACTTCATCATTAATGATGATTACAGGAGACACCCCTATGGGTAGTTTCAGAGGGTTGTTCAGGTTGGAGCATTGGTTGTTGTTTTTTTTAGGGAAGGCTCAACAAAACAGAAAAAGATTTGGTGAGTTAGTGGAGGCAGACTCAGCCCCTGTCCCAGCACCTCTGAAATGACCGACACACCCTCCCCAGAGTTTGATGATGGAGAAAACACGGACAGAAGTTGGGCTTCCGTATTTCAAACTAACATCGCAGGTCAACATGCTAATGTCTCAGAGGCACCACAGCAACCAAGCAGCTTCAGTCTTCAGTCGTTCAGTCAATGCAAGCTGGTTCAACAAGTGGTGATGGCTGCATTGTATTGAGGATGGCGATGGTCTGTTTTAGCTCCGTCGAAGCAGTGGAGAAAGGTCTAATTAATAAAGTCAGGTCAGGTTGGACAACAGTTTTATGAAAGGAGGCTTCAAGGAGGGACCAAACATCTGTTTGTCAGGCTGAACATCCCAATTGAACGTCTCCCCAAATACTGTTTTGATGGAGCTAGTAATATGTCAGGAAGGTTCTCCGGCCGCCCAGAAGGTGAGTCTTACAGCTGATTCTATGAACTCTGTTCAGGGTATAACTGTAGTAATCCATGAGTCATCCAAACACAAGGAGCTCGATGTTTGGCTCTAATGACGTAGTTACCATATTTGCCACATGTCCAACAAGATGGTGCATACGAACAACAGCTATCAAACATGTACTGTATGTAATGCTTACAAAGAAATCACTGGAACTCACTGGCAGCTGGAGGATGACAAAAGTGTGCGGGAAAACACCAGAGCAAAGATCGGAGGCCTGTGTAAGCAGGCAACAAGGCTTAAGCCTTCTTTGGTCTCCTGTGTTGTGAAGCATTTTCTGAGCAGTGTGAATCAGTGGCCAAAAGGTGACAGAACACCAAAGCCAGCGCACTGGGTGCACTTGAGTGTACAGTGGAGAACATGCTACATTCGCTATCTACAGTGAGACACAGGGTAACGAAAATCCCAGTCCGTTATAGTTACACAACAGAGCGAGAAGTAGAAGCATAACACTCATGGCAACATGAGTTTTATGAAGCAGTGGACTTGGTTACAGAGATTCGACCAAGATGGCATGAAAACAGCAGGTGCTTGTTAAGGCAAACAGTGAATAGTGAATCCCTTCACCTTCTCTTGCACTTTGATAGAAGTTGACTACATCTCATTCTATGTTTTCCATTCTGCACCGTCTGAAGACAACAATGATGTAGAAATGACTGACCCAACTTGCTCTTAGGCATGTTCATGGTGATATTCTGAATAGTCTGGACAGTCACCTGGTGAGGACCTTCATCAGCACCAACCCACAGAGAAAGGCCACATTTGGAGTTCTGTGATGCAGACAGCAAGACCGTGTTAGTTTTTCAATGCTGCCACCGCACAGCAACACATTTGCCTTTGGATTTGGCTGTATGTGTTGTGTTCTTATTTTTCAAGTGTGATCTGTTCACCTTTTGAATATTTGTTTTTCTTATCTAGGTTCGGAAACGAGTTGCCAACCTAAAAGTTGTAGATCACCATACCTGAGAAAGTGCATATTATTATGTTATATAAAGTCTATACAGAGAGGTCGAAAAAATTAAACATGCTACTTAAATACACAGTCAGTAACTTCTGCCTCTAGGGGTCTGAACCAAAACAATAATAAAAGACGGCGATGGGTTCCGTCATGAAATAGCCTTGGATCATGGGTTCTCTTCACCACCATTACCGTAAGCTCCTCCCGGTTTGGATTCCTTCAGTGTCAGTGGTTTAGGAAATCAAACAGACTCTATGATGTTTAGCGTTAAAAACACTGAATGAAGTAGTTTGACATTAAAAGTCAGTGTTTGAGCGACGCTGTACAGAGGACAGAGACTCAGGGAAGAGTTGGAGCTGAGATTGATGTTAAACTTTGTTCTGATTGTTTCTCTGATAACTTATGAACCAGATGTTCAGCAGGGTTTTACCAGTAGCAGAATTATCCTCAGAGGTGTCCTCCTCTCCATAACAAACAGATGAGAACATAAGACCAGTAGAAACACCAATAAAACAGTTTCATTTTAAAAATCAGAGATTCACCAACGCTCTTCAGTGACACAGGACAGGACGTCTCCAGCAGCTGGGAGCTGAGCTGTCTAACATTTCCTCAGCTTGTTTCTCTGATAACTTCAGATCCAGACGTCGTAAAATCCTTCATGTGGTTCAAATATAGAGCTAAAAACGTGTGTTCAAAAAGTGTATGTGGCTTAAAACTAGATAAAAGTCAATGTTGAGCTTCTGTCAGACAAACACACTGACACATGATCATAGAGAATATGATGTCATTGACAACCAATGAAACATTACCATGACTAAAAATCACAGGTGTCTCTGGTTTGAGAATTGATGGAAACATTTGATATAATGTAAGAACACAACTCAACAACATATAGAACAAAGGTCCACTTGTTTTTAGACTGATTTTGAGACTTTTTTAGACTGAGATTTGAATGTGGAAAAGTTACATACTATAACTTTAAACTGCTGTGACACAATGTTTACTGTTGCCATGGTGTTCAACACCAGTGGCTATAACATATACCCACACATAACACCATGCCCAATTCTATACACCATCACACCACCACCAGAAACACTCAGACCAACAATCATGTCAGTCAAAGTCAATAAGATCACATTTGTCCTCACTCTGTTTGATGTGAACATTAACTGAAACACCTCACCTGAATCTGCTGCTGCAACATGATTAGCTGGATAATAACATGAATAAGCAATTCTCCTTTATTAGTGCACATAGATTGGTAGCACATGAATTTGGTACCAGTTTTTACTATAGAACGTTTTAGAATGTTAATTAGAACATATAGTATATTTCATTATTTTATTGTCGGTATAAGAAATGGTTTTTCAAAAGAAAGGTATCCACAACGATCCAAACCAAAAACTAGAAATAACTGCACTGATGATGAGTTGCAAACTGAGTGCAAAGGCCTTAAAGTTAGCTCCTGGTCCTGGTCTCAGTAGAGGTATTATGGTGTATATCATCAGTCCTTCGGCTCGGAGTAGTGATCAGTTTCTGTGACTGGTGGTCGATCGGTCGGAGGCAGCAGCTGCTTCCTGTTTCCTCATTAATGACCTCAGTGTGAAACAGCCTCCAGCGCTGTAGCTTCTCCACCTCATCATCACACTGTATTTTTAAACTCAACAACGACACTTCAACAGTTTGTCATGAAAAATGCCCGGGAGCAGTGATGAGCGAGGAGACGACATGACAAAGGACAGACAAGTAGAAACCAGAGTTTATTAGAGATAAAGACACAGATAAGACACAGTTTTTTACAGCAGCAGAGTGTAAACATCAGATATTAAAAACACTTTTCATCCACTGCTAACAGAATAAGAGAACATCAGCTGAGAGTCTGCTCTTATTTTATTCTCATCACATCAAGGATTCAGGATCATCTCAGTCCAGTCCACAGATATGGATATTTTATATGACAGCGGCACAGCGAGGCCAGCCCTATAAACGTGAATGTCACCGACTGACTGAGTGAACAAGTTGCCAACGGTTTAGTACAGTGCCCCCTCCTGACAGATATAGGATAGGCAGATACCCTGCCTGTGTAGATTCACACCAGTGTTGGCAGTTACAGTAAAACTATATCATGTGTAATGAATCAATAAAGTAATTTCAGATTGTCCTATCATAGTGAGAAACCCTGAGGTCTGTGCCAATCATGTCTAGAGGTAAAGTACAGCTAATGCTACAATGATAGTAACCCGTTACTCATTCAAAGTATTTATGGTGAATAGTAAATAAGATGCCATTCATATACCTGGTTGATGTTCTGCAACATGAAGTTTTATATGATGTAATGTGTGATCGCATTTTAAATGCCAAAAATAATAAATTTCTTTATTTATGGCACCATGTTGTCATTAAAGGTAGAAAAAGTATGCATTCACAGCAGCGCTTGTTTTAAAATTAGCCCAGGCATCAAACTTGCATCATCAGTGACAGTCTGACAGTGACCGACTATGTCAAGCAGAGCTGTACAACCAACTCCAGAATCCACCACATCAGTGTGCCATTCCTCTCTATGGCAGTAGCAGCAGCAAATCTCTCTTAAATTCAGGCCTGTCCTGTCTCATAATGTTGTGCTGAAAGTCTCTCTCTGCATCTTGCTGCTCTCTGTCTGTACTTGAGATGGGCACTTGAAGAAATTTCCTTGATTGATCATTGGGAAAATTATCGATCAGTTATCGATTCATTAATTTTTTATATAAAAAAATGCCTATGGCAGAAAATACTAAAGAAAGCGTCTTTTTCCTCAATGAAATCTTTATTCCAAGAAGAAATTATGGTCCAACAACAATCCTCTTAAACACGTCAGTTAAAGTTTAATTGTTTAACTATTAAACAGAACAAAAAGATATGCGGCGCTCCTAATGGCAGCGGAGCCCGAGGATCTGAGCCAAACCTCTTCACAAATAACAAGCCAAAGCTACGGCGCTTATACACAGCATTGCAATGTTTACAATGAGCTTCATTATTTTTTAGCTCGAAATGCTCCGACATCAACCTCGCCTTGCTCTCTTCATGTTTACCTGTGATGCCGACGGCAGCCCCCGTGCACTGGCAGCTGAGTTTTCATTTTTCTCTGTTGAAAATTTAAATTGCGCCCCGGCTGGTTGCTGCAATGTAGTGCAATGTAGTTAATTGCTTCAAGACACACTACACAACACAACCACGTTAAAATTCTCAACGATCAATTATCGATCATCGATTAATCATGCCCACCCCTTGTCTGTACATCTTCCCTTTTCTCCTTCCTGGCTGAAGAAGTATCAGGATGAGTCCTTTAAACTGACAAATGTTCAGTATTGAGGGCAAATGACTAAAAATCACTTAAATGGTAATCTTCAAAATATTAACCATTATCTGACAATGAAAGTGACAATGCAGAATCCTTCATTTTCCAGCCTCAGCGTTGTTAATCTTTCCTGGCTCATAGTTGGGAGCTGACTGTAGCTGGGAAGCATCATGGATGTAGCATCTGTGACGTCATCCACAGGTTTCTGAAGAGCGGTTTAGAAGCTCAGAGGGATCTGCTCCAACATCACCAGCTTGGCAGTGTCAGTGGGTTCGAGTCTTTGTGTCACCCGGGGGGGTGGGGGGGTCCCTTATTTTTTCCAATAAAAGGTGGTAACCCTAGCATACACTGCCAACAGCATCGTTAGCACAGCTGGTCAACTGAGTGCCTCGGTCGAAAGCTAACCTAAGGTTAATTCATTTGCTTGCTAATTAGCTAGTTAACAAGATAAGCTAATAACCAGATATGTTAAGTGCATACACAGAATTTCACTCACCACAAAACACAGGAGCACAGACGTCCTCACGCTCTGTCAGTCAATTTACATGAAAAATCCTCCACAAGAACCAACACCACAAACACAGAGAGGTCACGTTCACTGACTGAATTAGCTGAGGTGACACCGAGCAGATAGCTAGCAGATAGTGACGACACCCACCTGTCACTCAAAGAGGACATGCCCTCAAATACATATAACTTTAAGTTTTAATGAAATGTAAACAGTCGACCAAAACTGTTCTTGTACCACACTGTAAACATGTTTTTTTCTGCTGTAAAGTTGGACGGTTTTACATGGGAGTTTATTGGGATTGACTCACTGTTGGAGTCAGACTCTAGTGGTCATTAGAGGAACTGCAGTTTTTGTAACTTCAGCATTGAATTCATTTTTCAGCCTCGGAGGTTGATGCTTGGGAAGCACATGGGAGACAAGGGAACTTGACTTGGGTCGTAGCATTTATTTACTGATTAAAGTGCACAAACTTAATTACACTGATAAGTTCACAGCTAGACTGATAACTGCTAAAAACTACCCTCTCTACTTGACAAGCCCCAGCCTTGGTCAACAGGATACAGTCACACCCATGAAAATAACAGAAACAATAGATACATCGGCTGCTAGTCAAACTAGCTTCCAGAGACAATAGCCTGCTGCTGCCACAAGAGGGCAGTGAATTACATTTACACACATTGATGTCACAGTTTTTAATAAACATCAGTCTGGAGAGACAAAGATTGAATCTGGATGAAACAGAGAGATGATTTTACAGATGTCACCAACTTCATGTGGAGAATTAGATCTCCACAGCATCATCAGACATGTCTGAATGAATGTGGCAGCAGCTGACTGAAATCTTTAGACAGATTTTATTAGTATTTCTGACTTTATTTCTCCATGACGGAGCAGCTCTCAGGTTTGTAGTTGGAGGACGAGAGAAGCAGCATCTTAATGTTTTCATCTTATTTATTTCATTTTTATTATTAATTCTTTTTGTGCAACTTTACAGTGGTACTCACGTACAGACATCAAGTTAATTATGTATCATTATGTTGTATTCTTTAAACACAACATAAAGTACATGTTTCCCTTTTTATTTCATTTTATTGAATTACTCATTTATATTTTTCAATAAAGAAACCATGGAATAATGTTGGCTTTATTCCCTCCATTCTTCTGTTTTTCTTTATAAAAATGAAGTTACATTTTTTTTTAAAAACTTTCTTCATCATATGAACACTGTTTAAATTTTTTTCTGATAACTGTTCACATTGAGGTGAATCTACCTGAAGCCTCATCACAACCTGAACCATCAGAAGTCAGGACTGATTAAACAGTATCTCCCCTCAGTTCCAGTAAAACCAATAAAGGTCACTAAAGGTCAAACACAGCAAACACAAATACCCTCAGTAAATAAATAACACAGAAAACATAACAGCACCACAAAGAGGAAGACATTTCCCACCACCATCAGGAGTCTCTGACCTGAATATAAATAAATCTGAAGGGTCAGTAGGTTCTGTTCAGGGGAAGCATCAGCCATCAATAAATCAATTCATCAGTTCAACAAGACATTTTTTAAAAATGTGTTAGTGATCTAATGATCAGTGGGCGTGTCTCAGGTGAAAAAGCAGCAACCTGATTCCTTCAGGAAAAGGCAGGAAGCTGTGACATCATGAACACTGAGCACTTTAACTACATTGAGTTTAACATGAACAGATCAGATCAGCTGCTTGGAACGTTACAGCAGCTGATATAAAGGATGTAAATCACCCTATTCATGCCCCCCCATGTTCAGAGCCTCTGGCTGTCAACTTCTCTCTTTGAAGCCGCTGACTTCACTCTTCAAAGCTGAGAAGCCAAACAGAGGATTAATGCAAACGCCTTTTAAATGGAAATCAACCGCTGAGAGCTGCAAACCTGCAGAGCACCCACGCTTCAGGGTCTGAACCACGCTTCAGGGTCTGAACCATGCTTCAGGGTCTGAACCACGCTTCAGGAGCTGAACCACACTTCAGGCTCTGAACCAGACTTCAGGATCAGCTGTCTAACAGTAATCCGTAATATTAACTAATCATTAACTGAAACTAGATGAGCAGCGGATTAATCTATGGGTAGATTAAACAGGTAATGAAAATAATTTATGTATGTCAGAGGTCAGGATCAACAGCTTTGGAGATGTTTCAGCCAGTTTTTGCTAAAATCAGATAAAAACATTTTTATACCTGATGTTACTGCCTCCATAAATACTTAAGACCTCTGTGAAGGAAACATTTGAAGCTTTTTCAAGACTTTTCCAGACCTGCAGATACCCTGTCTTCAATCTGAGTCTGATCCCTAGTCAGTCTGTAAAGCAGCTGTGCATCCTCACCTGATCAACAGGTTCTCCATAAACCCTCAGACAGACTCGCCTGCTTCATCTCACCTGGAAAAAGCAGCAGCGCTATGACAACCATGTTCTCTGCTGCTGAGAGAAGCTCCAGGAGATGCAGGCAGATACCTCCACAACCTCCTGGATGGTCAGTCTCACACAGACAGACCTGTCTCCACAGAGCTGTGACTGCCCCATCATCAAGCTCTGGTGTGTTTGCATTTCTTTAGACCAATCAAAGCCTGGGCGGCGCTGAGCCCAAGATGCAGTGACGGTGCTAATGCAAAACAGTGTCAAAGGGGAGCTGTCATTAAAATGGCTGATTCCACGCACAGAAAATGCCACAAAAAACATGACTGGATGATCCCGATCTTCAGTACGTACGCTGCTGCTCAGAGGTTGTTGATGTTTACCAGAGTGAAGGGGATTTTTCACAGGCAGGGGAAGTGGAGAGGGAGGAGAACGCAATGGCCCAATGGCAGGTTAACACCACAGCCTACATCACTAACTAGTCCACTAGACTACCTGATGGAGAGACTACTGAACAGGTAGTTCCCCTTTCCTTTTCACACACTACACCTCTGACTCTCAGCACAACTCTGACTGGGACTCCACATCAGAAGCCAGACCTGAGTTGTCTGACTCTGACCCCATCCTCTGAACCAGCTGTCTGTCAGACCAGCTGATATCAGACATTAACTGGACAGGAAGTAGGCTCCACAAGTAGTATACAGAGGAGAGCAACATTATTTTTAGTAGCCCAGTCACTGATTTTACCTCCCTGCTCAAGTTTTCAGATGACTCAGCAGTTGTATCAGCAGTGGACAGGACACCTGGTGGACAGGTCACTTGGCTTGACTGTCCCAAAGACCAAGGAGAAGGTGGTGGATTTCAGGAAAATCCGGTGAGTGCATCACTGCAGTCTGATGCGGTTCCGACTATTCACCCAACACATCGTACAAGCAGTCCAACACTACTCAACACACTGTCTTCCAATAAGAAACACTACACAGGAAAAAAAGCAGCAAATGACACCTGCTAAAAATACACACAGACAACAATATAAAAAACAAACGTATAAACAAAGGTCAACCTGGTCCTGTTTGATTTACCACATTGTCTTGACTTCCCTTGTGCTCTGTGGTTTCTAAGGTTTGAGTCATCTTCACGTTTCATGGAAAATGGTTTTCCCGTTTGCTTTATGCTGACATTTTTTCCAACACATCCAGAGTGACATAATGTAAATGTTAGAGGAGTAGAAAGCTTAATGTTGGTAGAAACTCATCCTGTTTTCCCTTAGTAACATCTCTGTTAAAGCAAAAACGTTTTGTCCCTTTTGTCCAATTAAATGTTCCCTATAACAGCTCTGTGTTGTGAGTGGTGTTGCCGTGACAACGTGAACTCTTCACGGATTGGCTGTTTCAGATGTCGCTCCAGAGGACGGCCCGCCTACTCTTGTCCACGCTGACAACGTATTCACCGGACAGAGACCAGGACACAGCGCTGATAGAGGAACTACAGAGAGAAGGCATGGCTGTTATTAAAGGACCAGTAAATCATTATTTATACAGTGACATGTGGAGTCCCTCAGGGAGGCATCCTGGAACCTCTGATCTTTCTATTAAACACCAACATTATTCAGTGCATGTATTATCAGTAGATACACTGATAAAACTTTTTCAAATTAACATAACTTTATTTATATGTCATGCAGAGATGTGTAGAGAAAACCAGCTGAACATGATAATGTGGTTTGAGTGTGTGCTGAAAAAACAGGAAAGCATACTCACTTGGCCTCACTATCCGTGAGTCGACGGAAGTCAGGAGAGACTGTTTTTCTGTATTATTATGTAGATTTTCAGTGAACTAAACTGACTGAGTTTTGTTTATTGGATAGATTGGATTGGACTGAACTGAACTGATAACTTGGAAAACCTGAGGAGGATTTTTTCATTGTCATTTAAATTGAGTTGGACACATAGACTGTAAATAAATTTGGACGTAGCCTCTGTGACCTCACCCATGGGGTTCTGAAGAGCAATTTTGAAGCTCAGAGTGAGCTTTGCCACTGTCGCCATCTTGGCAGTGTCTGACTCCGCCCCTAACTCCCAGCTAATCCAAAATGGGGAAGACCATATGTGGAGCTGAGACTTTGGTGCATAGCAGTTTGTGGCAAGCATATGCTCACCCACCTGTCACTCAAATAGGCCACACCCTCAAGTCTCCATAACTTTAAAGGCTTAATAAAATGTAAACAGGTTAGTTACATAAACTGTTGTCATGAAGGAGGAAATTAGCTATAGAGACCAAAACTATTTTTGTACCAGGCTGTAAACATGTTTATTTCTACTGTAAAGTTGGACATTTTAACATGGGAGTCTAAAGGGATTGACTCACTGTTGGAGCCAGACTCTGGTGGTCATTAAAGGAACTGCAGTTTTCGTAACTTCAGCATTGGCTTCATTTTTCAGCCTCGGAGGTTGCTGTTTAGTTGGAAATAAGGGACAAGACTGAGGGTGAAGGAATTTTGGGTTTTTTTCTTTACTTTCTTTTGGTTTTCCTCAATATAATCTTTAAAAACCTATGATGTGTTTTGAGTAAAAATGGAGTCATGTGACTGTATGCATGAAACCTTTGTAGGGTTTGATCGTCAATCATTTTTATAAGTCTGAACTGGTGGAAACCACTACATAAATAAATGTAGGGTTAAATTAGTAACAAATGCAGTAAATCGTTTGGCTCTGTCTTTAATAACGTGTAGTTCCTCAGGGAAGTGTTCTGATGCCTCTGATCTGTCTATTAAATCGTAAAGACTTATTATTTATATTAAATAAAATCTTCCCAAACTGAATTGTTTTGAATTGATTGATTCATGTATTGATCAGCTGATCCATATCTCCAGTGTGTTACCTGTGTTTGTCAGGTAGGCGGGTCTCCAGGTTGCCAGTGGAGACATTCCAGATGTAAACAGTACCATCTGCTGATCCAGCCGCCAGAAAGCAACCGTCTGGACTGAAGAGAGAGAACGTCAGGTTAGACTGAGAGGGGTTCTACATGGAACATGGACCGTAGGGGGATGTGAGAGAAGTTCTAATCTCAAAAACCTGACCAAAACCCACTGGGTTACAACAAAATATCAGTGTTTTTGGGTTCGGCCTGTTTGGTTACAGATCGATCTTCACACTCTTGTATTCAGGTTTTATTATTTTTATTATTATTAAGATATTTCTATCCTCACTGACAATGTAGACAACATCTTGCATTACCCTGTAAGTTATTGATGAATGAAGCAAAAATATTATCGTGTTGTGTTCAGAATTCAAACTAGGCATTACCAGCTGAGTACAGTTTGGTTGGGCCTCACATGTGTGTGTATAGGCTTGGACTGGCTCATGCAAAAAAGAACCAACCAAATTCTACTATCAAAACATGGAACTAAGTCATTGTAGTGCAACAGGAAAAGTCCCATGATCCAGACACAGTTTGTTGTCAAAGACTTCCTGCAGCTGCTTCACAGTAGAAGCCTTCCAGTCCGGAGAAATCTGTTCTGGTCTGTATTAAAAAGGAGCTATTTTTAAGTTTTTGCTATTGCTACACAGCCAACGTTAGCATTAGCAACTATTTATTACCGGTCTTACCAAGAGCTTCAGTCATTGTTGTGTTAACAATACAAAAGGTTATAATACGTCTTCTGAAGTTTAAGTTTAATGCTCAACTCACAATGTTTGATGCTGAACTCATAATGTTTCTTCTAGGCTGGTGAGTAAACAGCTGTTAATGCTAATGTTAGCTATGTAGCAACAGCAAAACTTACATAGAGCTCCTTTAAAGAAGCTGGTCATTCTGCAGGTTTGTAGTTGACCTCAATCTACATTTGGATGTTTTATCTGTTGCTGTCTTTAATGAACCTCCAGTTACATTTACTAAATTTTTACTCCTATGTAACTGTGCTGTATGAAAAGACGCTGTCTTTAGGTGCTAATTCGTTGCTGTTCAGTTTATTGTATTAATTACTGGTGTAACACAATCCTATAGTCAGTCTTTAGTAAGTCAGCTGAACATGGATGTGTGTAAGGATTTTCTTTCTGTATGGTTTTACATTTTGTGTGGTCGTAAATTACAGTACAGTAACTGATCAAAGTACAGTTAAACAAATATGTAAAATAAAGTTTCAAATAATGAATTAATAATTAATAGATTTCAGTCAATATTTTTGGTCATTAGGGTTTTAAGAATTCATTCAAGGAAATTGACAACTGCTTTAAAACTACATTATGACAGGTTCTTTCAGGCAGGTACATAGCACCTGTCCTGTCTCAGAATATCATGTCTGAGTTAGAACCAAATCACAGAGGGGTGATGTTGATAAAATCAGCTGTTACCACACTAACAGCTCAGAGACTGACCTCAGAGACAACCTAGCAGGGAACCTTCACTGCCTGTGTGTTTGTGTAGAAACAAATTTATGTATTTAGTGTTTCTGCCAGAGAGCTGAACAGGCACAAAGCATCCTGGTCATGCTGTTGTCATGGAAACTGCAGAAAATGAAGCATGCAACATCTCATCCCTCCTCTCTGTCTGTCTCCCTCTATTTTTATCTCTCTCTGTTTTCTGATGGAATTTTCTGATCACAGACATACTGATATGATCAGTCACATTAACTGATCACCAATAAATCAGACTGAACTTGCTGAAACAACAAACAACAAAGCAATCCCTCTGCTCTGTGTTTCACCCACTTATCCAGAATGTTTACATCAACACATAAATCAGGTCACTCAGAGCAACCAGGTTACAAAGGCAATCATACAACATGTTTACATGAACTGTAGCGGTCTGGGGCCTGAACCATGAAGCCAGTTCTCCTTCGACTGGATCTCTTGAAGTTTCACTGTCCTAGATCACCTGGATCCAGGTCCTGGTTATCAACCGGCTCAGTTAAGTCTGGCTTTAATAATCTGACTTCAGGCAGGAGGAGCTGTTAATGAGGAGAGATTCATCAGAGCCATGAATGAAGTGATGAATCTGATGAGGGCAGACTTTGAGAGCTGCAGGTTACTGTGGTCACTGAGCAGGAAGTGATGCTCCACAGGTGAAATGAAAAGACTGTGATCACATTAGTAGTAGAAGAACAAGCTGCAGAAACACTAGAGATAATAAAGTGTCAGTGAGAACAGGAGTTAAACTGGTCTGTAGTCCAGAGTGTTTCCTGCTTCTGTGTCTGATGATGGACAAACTAAACTGCGATGAAGGTCAAAGTCAGTGAGTTTATAAAGTTTATAAACCTGGATCATTTCTCTATTAAAGACATAAGAGTTTAGTTTCATGTCCAGGTCTCAGTCTGCTCATGTTGTTCTGAGTCAGGATCAAACTCTCTTCATTAACATCAGCTTTAATCGTTGTTACACAGCAACTCAGTTAAAAACTCTGTGAACTCAGGTTTCCAGTGATCTGATTGGTCAGTAGTCAGGCTGTTGTCAGGTTTTGAGCTGATCCTCCGCAGCACAGGTCACCATGGTGATCTATCCTGGGTAACCATGGTGATCTACTCCAGTTAAAGTAAGCCAGATTCGTGGTAGCAGAAAACCTGAGTTAAGGCCATGGTTTAGGTCCCTCACGATTGTGGATATGTTCACATGTAACAGTAACAAGATCTCTGTCCCACCCCAGATCTTATCATGGAGCAGAAGTTTACTGATATTAACAGTAGTAATAATACAAGATGTCACAATCATAGAAAGAAACCAGGTCTCTGTAATCCACCACCTAGACTAAAAAAACAGAACTCACCTGATCACGGCCTTGGTGCTGTCGCTGCCACATTTGAAGCCCTCAGCTCTGACAGAGGCAGAAACACACAGTCATCAGTCTGTACGACTGTAACAGCTGTTCAGAACAAACACACCTGTTACACTGTGACGGTTCTACCTGAAACACATGCGGTCATTGCTCCACCTCCTCAGGTCTACCAGCTGGAGGCAGTCATCACGGCAACAGCTGAGCAGCTGGCGATGGTCGGAGCTGAGGTCCAGTGAGGTGACTTTACCTTGAGCAGGAAGTTCCTGAACACAGCTCACCACCCTGAATCACAACACATCACTTCAATTAATTTCATCAATCTGGTATTCATTCACACTCAAACTGTTTCCTCATTTACTAAACATTTCCTGAAACGGTTCCTGAAAAAGTTCCTTGGAAGAAGTTTATTTGGCTCTTTTCCAATTAATCACAAGCAAAACCTAAACCTTCTCACTGAACTGAACCTGAGACCAGATGCAGAGACATGGAGCTGCTCTGTCAGCTGAGCAGGAAAAAGTGTGACAAACAAACAATTCAACATATGTGAAGAATACAGCTTCAAAAACAAATGTGTGATGAATTAGTGTTTGTTTCCTATTGGAACAAATGGTAGATGAAGAAACTGTCTCTGAGCTCTGGCTTCATAATTTATTGCTGAAAACTGAGTTGAAGACATTTATGGATAAAAAGCTGATCATCTTTGGATTCTGGCCCGACTGTGATGTGTCTCAAATCAAAGCCAGGACCAGGTCTTTCCAGGACCTGTGAGATAATGTGTCACTGATTAACAGGTTCAGGTCATCAGTAGTTTGTCACTTTTAACGACAGAAAGTAAATACAAAAACGGACTGTGACCTCATCATGTCAGACTTCACCAGCTTTCAGATGTGCACTGACCAATTAGAGAACATATATGTGATGATGTCATTAGTTAACAGGTGATAAAACTGATTTTGTTTCAGACTGATTTGATTGGTTTTACATCATAATTTATCATGGAAAGTGTTATTGATCAAACACTGCAAATAGAATGTGTCATGATCATCATATTATTAACATCCAGCCAATCAAAGCCCAGTCAGAGATGTTACTGTCCAATCAGGAGCAGGGAGGGTGGATGGTATTGTGTGATTGGTGAACAGAACTGTCAATCATCTGCTGGGTCAAACTCTGCAGAGAGGAGGGGGGTGTGTGTGTGTGTGTGTGTGTGTGTGTGTGTGTGTGTGTGGGTGGGTGGGTTCTGTAGGCTGAGCTGTTGCTAGGTAACAGAGGAAGACGAGGAGTCGCCGTGGAGATGGCTGGGAGGATGAATGAGAGGTGTCAGGGGGTCTAAATTGAAGCCATCAGTCACAGCAGTTGCCAACAGAGACACGACTCCACTATGTTTCTGTTTCCACAGTTTCTATTATGTTTCCAGTCCACTTGATAAACGCAGGATATTTCAAGTTTGCTAATGTGTTCGCTGGTGAAGCTGCCGTTCAGTTTGCAGTCAACAGAATCTATTAGAATCTGATTCGAATGATACTACTGAAGGAAACTGAAGAAAAACCAAGAACAGCTCAATGTTACATCTGATGATGAAGTGGAGAGATGAAGTGGTGAAGGAGTGATGTGGTGAAGAGGTACAAAGGTGAAAAAGTAAAGACTGTGAGGTTTTGAAGGAATTAAGTGGTAAGGCTGTAAAGTGGTTAAGGACTGATATGTTGAAAAGTGAGTTAGTTAAGTGGTGAGGTGGTGAAAAAATGAAGAGGGAGTGAAGCAAAAATGATGAAAAGGTTATGTGGTGAAGCAGTGAAGGGATGAAACAGCTGTAGTGAAGTGGAGAGAAATACAATGATGAACAAGTTTAAAAGACTGAGGTGATGAAAGGGTGAAGTGATGACAGGAGTGAAGTGCTGAAAGAGTGAGGTGATGACAGAGTGAAGTGATGACAGAGTGAAGTGATGACAGAGTGAAGTGGTGAAAGAGTGAAGTGATGACAGATTGAAGTGATGACAGAGTGAATTGATGAAGGGGTAAAGTGATGACAGAGTGAAGTGATGACAGAGTGAAGTGGTGAAAGAGTGAAGTGATGACAGATTGAAGTGATGACAGAGTGAATTGATGAAGGGGTAAAGTGATGACAGAGTGAAGTGATGACAGAGTGAAGTGTTACCTGGTGTCCCAGACCCTGATCTTACAGTCGTAGTGCCCACTGATGATACAGTTCTCAGAACAGACCAGGTCACTGCAGTACGACACCACTTCAACTACCTGCACACCTGCACAGACAGTTCCACTAGTCAATTAACAGTCACGGACCAGCCATTGATCAGTTATAGATCAGTCATCATTGATCAGTGTGACTCACAGGCAGCTCTGTGCAGGTCCCACAGTCTGATGGTTCTGTCTGCACTTCCTGTCACCACCTGATGAAGCGAACTGCTGAACCTCGCTGCTGTTACCTTCCTACTGTGACCTGTCAGAGTCAGCTGAGACAGACAGGTGAGACAAAGAGAGACAGGTGAGACAGAGAGAGAGAGGAAGGTGAGATAGAGACAGAGAAATAACATAATGTGTGTGTGACTCTGAGTATCAACAAGTACATTTATTTAAAGTATTAAAAGTAAAAGTAAAGTAAAAAGTATGCAGTATGTATGTATTATATATACACACATATATATAGGAAGTATATATATACATATACATGTACAAACACACACACACACACACACACATATATATATATATATATATATATACATAAAATTAAATACTGTGTATATTACAGTCTATCATTAGACTGTGAGCACCATGTTATTACTATAGCTGCTCAGGTGGAGCTGATTTAACTGTTTTATATCAGACTACAATTCATTATTTTCATTTTATTAATTAACTGATTCCATTGGTTGTTTGGTTTGTAAAACTTAGTGACATCTTCACCATGTTTGTCTATCTGTTTTGTCCAACCAACAGTCAGAACCTCACAATGATTTAAATCGATTAAAATAATTCAATTAATTAAAGGAAAAATCTTGTAAATCTGTTTACATGAAAAATGACTCAAACCATTAACAAAGTCATTGTCATTAATGTTCTGTCAATCAGCTGATCAATTAATTAACAAATCATCCAGTATTTTCTGAGATAAATGGGAGGAGTCACAGTTACCTTGGGAACGGAGTCATCCAGTCGCCACAACAAGGCCGACTTGTCGTAGGACGCTGCAAGAATCCTCAGACCCTGAGAACATACATGAGAGTGAAAAACATCAGACTGTTCCTTTAATGAGTCTCATCAGAGTCAGAGCTCAAGTGAGTCCAGATTCAGGTGAGTCCAGATTCAGGTACAGGGGTTTTACTCACCGTGGGGTCAAACTCAATGCAGGTGATCCCCTCTGTGCTGCCATCCAGAGTTCCTCTGTGGGTCAGCGAGCCTGGTGACATCATCATCATCATCACCATCACCATCACCATCATCATCATCATCATCATCATCATCATCATCATCAGCTCAACATTCAAACTGATGGTAAGAATGAAAACAGCAGAGGTCAGTTTACCTGCTCTGACCTCCCACAGTTTGATGACCCGGTCTGTTCCTCCAGTGGCCACCAGGTCTGAACTGGAGCTGAACCTCACTGCGTTGATGCCTTGCTCATGGGCGTCCTGAGAGAGACAGGTGGAAACTTTCAGTGTCTCATACATGTGCTGAATGTTTGAAGATGTTTCAGAGTGTCTTCTTCTTCAAGGTTTTTCTTGATGCATTATCACCTCCTGTAAACCATACAAACATTTATATAGTTTATATGGTTTGCAGGACACCCCTGCATACAGGTGTGTTGTTCACCTGTATGCAGGGGTGTCCTGGTGGGCCAAACCACACACACACACACACACACACACACACACACACACACACACACACATACACAAACTACAGCCAAACCAGGGCCTGTCATAAAGAAACTCTTCTCCACTGCTCTCTGTTCAGCGCAGCAGGAAACAGCTAACTACTCACATCTCACTGCAGCTCACTGAGACTCAACCTGAAAAATCTAAAACTGTTAATAATAACAGAAAAGTGATTAAAAAAACATTAGTGTATTTTTAGGAAAAGTTCTGTATAGATTGTGCATGACACAAATACATATCACACGGGACAGGGTGAGAGAGGGACACAACAACAACAACAACAACAACAACAACAGCAAATTAGGCATTCCGCAATCCCGTTTTTTTTTGCCGCAGATACTGATACCGATCATCTATGAGTTTGATCGGCCAATCCACTGCCAATACCGATCATTTCTGTCATGCATTGCAGATGGCGTACATCTCACACACTTTGTAAAAGTTCCACACAGCTGACGTGTTGCTGACGGGAGGTGGGACTACACTACACAGCACACAGTGCTTCTCTCAGCCACAGACACCAGAGTGTTAACCACAGGTGTTCGGTTTGAAGGTGAACGGTGAATAGAAGCATTAATGATGATCTACTGATCACTGGTCAGCCTGGTTCGGACATCATCTCTGTCACTGTGTTAAATACTCACTGATTGAGTCAGAACTGAACCTAGACCTGGTCTACATGTTGATCTGATTCAGTGTGACGTCACTTCCTGAGGATATCATTATCTCACTCCAGAAATCCACTTAAAAATCAGAGAGAAAAGAGGATGCAGAACTTCCTTCAGAATCCTCCTGTTTTCAAAGTTCCTCTCCCGACATGATTTAAACTCTGTAAAACTCCTCTCCTATGATTCATATTTAGTTGAACCTGGTTTTCACATATAAAAACTGGGTCTGAAGCTCTTACTCTTACTTTCTGATTGAGTATTGTGCCCTTGTGCCCCGCCCACCACCTGCTTGCTTCAGGTGGACAGGTGAAAGAGCAGAGAGTATCAAGATGGTTAGAGGAGGAAACATCAGAGAGACTCAGCACCATGTTTGAGCCTCAGTCAGACCCAGACTCAGATGAGGAGTCTGAGACCAGAACCAGAGACTAGCAGACGGATCAGATCGGTTAGCGCAGTTAGCATCTTTTATTTGTTAATGTTGTTTGTTAGTTTGTAACTGGCTAAAGGTTTCAGGTTTATTTAGCCCCGCCCCCCATCCCAACAAGTTGACAGGATTGGTTCCTTAGGTTTGTGATGTATGAAACCCTGGCTGTCTGAATCTGTGTTTATGAGACTGTCATTGGTTCACTGCAGACAGGAGCTGATCACAGCTGATTCGGCTGCTGTTAATGGGACAGTGTGACTGTAGGAGCCAAAACTTGTAGCAGAGCGAACACCTTAAGTCGACACGTGTTTCTTATCCTATTCACACAGCTCATACCTACACCTCATGTAGATCACAACAAAAAAAGGGTGTTATTGATCCAATGTCCGTCATCCACAATAAAGTTGAAAATAAAACAGATGAACTGAAGAATGCCGCTTTAAAAGTCCACAGATTAATCCACAACTTGATATAGTCCACAACTCAATCCACAACATGGTCAGAAGAACTGTGCGGCTCCACTCCACCACCCTTTTTTCTACAGAGCTTCTTCTAATTGCCACAACTCTGATACGGAAGTTCTGTACTGCCGCAAAGTGTCCTTAAGTTTCGCAATCTAGTGTTTTACTATCACACTGTGTATTTATAACAGTAACAGGTAAACAGATATAATTTCAACATCAAAATGTAGATAATACAAATAATATTTGACTGCAAATAAAATTTGAATCTTATAGTGACTACATGTGAACAGATACAGGTTGTAATTCCAGGAGGAGAGACCAGGTGTCACACTCCTGATGCACAGTGTGTGTCTTTGTTTGAACTGTAAGATGTGTATTGAGTGTGTATGTGTTGTGTGTATTACCAGTACTTGTAGAGCTCTAGCAGGGACTCTGGCTGACAGGCAGATTCTTACAGGACACATCAGATCCTCCTCCAGACTGCAGACTGAGAGACCACGCCTCTTCCTGCTGACATCACCCCCCACCCCACCACACACACACACACACACACACACACACCCACACACACACACATATAAATGCTGTTTTGGAGTAGCTGACTGACCACAGAACCCGCTCCAACAATAAAAACTCTGATTAGAGTGAGACCTGGACCAGGACTGGAGGACTCACTCAAACAGCTCTTTGATGGAAGAGAGGATTCTCGGGGACGTGGCCGACGCTGACCTGAGAACAGAGAAAAACCTTGTAAAGACTGTCAGAACATTAATACTCAGGTTTTGTCAGATGTATTATTCAGTAAGGCTGACTTATACTGGTTATACTGGTAACTAAACTGGTGACCAAGTACTCTGCTCTAATGAGAGATACGTATGTGTTTAGCTAACTGCAGCGGTATTATTAGAGTTAGCTGGGAAGACCTCACATCACAACACTGTTAAAAATAAAATGAACGTAACATAATAATAATAATAATAATATTCTTCAGAGGGATATTTTCTAGATATCAGACCTGAAGAGTCTGGTGTGTCTTGGTTCTGTGGAATCCTGGTCCTGGTTTTCCTTCTTTGGGGATGTGGATCTGGAGGTCGGAGCGCTGGAGGGGCTGACACACAAAACACACCGACATATTTACACTAAACATGATCATCATCATCACACTGAGGTTTGTCCACAGACATGAGACACTGACAAGGTCCCAACAACCACCAAAGTAAGAGCCCAAATCTGTTTTTAAAATATAATTATGTCAACGAAGTGAAACAATGAAGCTCAACAAAACTTCTGGAACATTTTCAAAAAACTCATTTACAAACAAAAATTTAAAGCCTCAACAATGAATTCGGTCGTATCGGATGTTGTTTAAATTATTTTTAAATTTTCTCCCAATATTGTGACCTTTTTATCAAAAAACCTGTTCCACCTCAAAATATTCAGAAATATTCCTCAAAATATTTACAACTTTCTCCAAATATCAAATTTTTCTCAATATGTTCCTCAACATTCCAACTATTTCTGAAAATATTTCTTAAAATTTTCTGAACAAAAGCTCCATTTTTAATGAGTGTAAATTAAAGATTTTAGACTTTTTCTATCCTCCCTAAAGGTTTCTTTCTCACAGATTTTCTTCACAAAAGTGTTTCACCAGGTTGTGACATATCCAGTTTAGTTATGTTGATTACACAGCATGATTATTGTCATCTATTAGGTACTGATCTGTGTGACCTGAGCTACAGAGTGACACATCTCCTTTGTCCAGAGTTGATCAGGTTGTTTTGTTTGAAGCTGCTGGATACTGACAGGAAGTGGATCACACTGTCGTACACACAAATCCAGATGCTCTCAGACCTGTTCAGTGGGTCACATGTCTGGTGACGACACAGGTCATGAGAGAACTGGGATGTTTGAAGCTTGGAGGAATTGTCTACATGATGCAGATGAATGACATGGCAATGGGTCTCAGGATCTCGTCACAGTGTGTGTGTGTGTGTGTGTGTGTGTGTGTGTGTGTGTGTGTGTGTGTGTGTGTGTGTTTATAAAAAAGTCTTAAATTTTTAATTCAATCAATGAAACATGGGAGTAAAAACAAAGATGTTGCATTTATATATCAGTTCAGTTTATTTCAAAATATTTCAACCTTTCGTTGGAAAGTCAAGGTTGTTTTGTCAAAGATATTAAGTAATATTCCAATGAACAACATGGCGGAAAACCACATGTCTCAGTCTTTGTGAAGTCACTGTTAGACATGAGACCAGGTGGAACATACCTATCTATAGTGACCTTTGACCTGGCAGCAGTCTGCAACTGCTTCTGCAGGTTCGCCTCACGAGCTCTGATTGAAACAAAGAAACGACATGTTAACCTCACAGCACAGTGTTCAGGTGTGATGATTAGGTGTTTTCAGATGTGATGAACAAGTGTGTTCAGGTGTGATGATCAACTGTGGTCAGGTGTGATGAACAGGTATGCTTAGGAGTGATGAACAGGTGTGTTCAGGTGTGTTCAGGTGTGATGATAAGCTGTGTTCAGGTGTGATGAACAGGTGTGTTCAGGTGTGATGATCGGCTGTGTTCAGGTGTAATGTACAGGTAATTTAAGGTGTGATGACCAGCTGTGTTTAGGTGTGATTAACAGGTGTGTTCAGGTGTGATCATCAGCTACGTTCAGGTGTGATGATCAGCTGTATTTAGGTGTGATGAACAGGTGTGCTCAGGCATGATGATCAGCTGTGTTCAGGTGTGTTCAGATGTGATGAATAGCTGTGTTCAGGTGTGATGATCAGCTGTATTTAGGTGTGATGAACAGGTGTGCTCAGACATGATGATCAGCTGTGTTCAGGTGTGATTAACAGGTGTGTTCAGGTGTGATGAACAGGTGTTTTCAGGTGTGATGATCAGCTGTGTTAAGGTGTGATGACCAGCTGTGTTTAGGTGTGATTAACAGGTGTGTTCAGGTGTGATCATCAGCTACGTTCAGGTGTGATGATCAGCTGTATTTAGGTGTGATGAACAGGTGTGCTCAGACATGATGATCAGCTGTGTTCAGGTGTGATTAACAGGTGTGTTCAGGTGTGATGAACAGGTGTTTTCAGGTGTGATGATCAGCTGTGTTTAGGTGTGATGATAAGCTGTGTTTAGGTGTGATGATCAGCTGCGTTTAGGTGTGATGAACAGGTGTGCTCAGACATGATGATCAGCTGGGTTCAGGTGTGATGAACAGTTGTGTTCAGGTGTGTTCAGGTGTAATGAACAGATGTGTCCCTAGTGTGATGATCAGCTGCGTTCAGGTATGATGAACAGGTGTGTTCAGGCATGATCAACAGGTGTATTCAGGTGTGCTCAGGTGTGATGATCAGCTGTGTTCAGGTACCTGGATTTGCGTTCGTTGCGGCTATTCATGCGGGCAGCAGCTTGCTGCTTCAGGTGGATCATGTCCTCCAGGAGGTGTCCTTCTCTGACCTTCTCCTCCCTGAGTCTTGTCTCTGCCCCTCTCTGTCGCTCCAGTAAAGTGTCGTACTCCCTCTTCAGCGCCCTGTTCTCCTCCTGAACCTGCTTTACCTGCTCCTGCAGCTCCTGGCAGCCATCAAACACACCTGTGAACCGACATTCCTCCTCCACCAGCCTGATGAATGAGAGAGGGGGTAGGGGGCAGGTTAATGACTTAAGGACTGATGTCATCAACAACAGGGTAAAGGGTCAGTTTACACAAAGTAAAAACCTGACCCCTCCCTCCAGCAGCCTCATTTCTGTCAGGCAGCTTTATATGTCGAGGTTTTCAGATTCCTGCCTCCACATCAGATGAGACATCAACATCTCTTTATAGAATAACTAGACCACTGACTACATCTGGCTTTTAGAGAATGTCATCAAAATATTCTAATAAAACTGTCAGAAAACAGTCTGATTATTAAGATCTGACGATCTGTCAGAATATCTGGAAATGTTATATTAAATATTTAGGAATATATTTTCATATTTCTACATATCTGTGAGTAGCACCACTAACAATAAAACCACAACTATTCATCAACACCTGTGTGTGACTGATCCTACCGATTCACTGGTCTAACACCATCAGCAACAAAGGCCTGTGGCAACAGACCAAACCACAGCAGAGATTCTACAGCTGGACACACATGGCACTGGGATGTGGATGCATATGTCACGAGAACAGGCCACACCTGGGGACAACTGGACAGGTCGGCTCAGGACCAGGATGCCTGGAGAACCCTTGTTGACAGCCTGTCAACCTGCCTGTCTCAGGAGGGCTGCAGTGGCTTAGTCAGACTCTTAAGACTTAGAAAAGACTGAAGTCTGACACCCTCTCCCATCTAAAGACAATGAATCATAAGTCACAAGTTTGTAAAGACTGAGGATCCTGCAGAGTCACTAAGACCCATTTCAGATTACTTCCCATAATGCTCCTGGTTGTAATTTACAAGAAGAAAAACAGTTTTTTGTGCCTCTGACAGTCAGAGCCGGAGCCATATTGTTTTCAGGTTCCCCGTTCATTCGTCTCATTCTCGTGAACATGATATAACACCTTGAGGGAACTGCTTCAAATTTGGGAAAAACATTCACTAGTACTCAAGGATGAACTAATGAGATTTTGGTGGTCAAAGGTTAAAGGTAAAGGTCACAGTGACCTCACAAAACACCCTTTATACTTTTTTATATAAAGTTAGTTCATGGATGTATTATGAGAACTGGATACCAGATCCAAAAATAGCGCCCGTTCATTTCTATAGGAATTGCTCACCTGGCGCATACTCCCTCTGGCTTCTGGGTTACTTCCGCATAATGCGGCCCACGGCATATGCAAAGTAGTGTCACTCTCATCGTATCTTTGAGCTATGACAACGAGCAAACGGCGTTCTGGAACTGGCGCTGCACTTTCATCAATGCTATGCTAGCGGACTTCACGGAGGAGTAATAACACATCTACAGGAATTGCTCAGGGTTTGAAATCATCAATTTATACAAATGAAAACAGCAACAATGAAAATAATGTTCTGAAAAGTAAGGTGGTGTTAAACCTACGATCGTTGATATCACGGAAAATCCGTGTTGACAGTTAATTGTGATGTTAAAGGGAAAACGAGTCATTCAGTTTAAAGCTTTAAAGCTTAAAATAACTTTGGATTCACCTCAATAAATCATAATCGGACAAAATATTTAGTTTGACCTGTTTTTTGAGCATTTTTTATTAGAAATTGATGCTGCATGTGACATACAACTTGTCAAATAAAATGATCAGGAGGGCTTTACTTTCTTACCTTTTTATATTGAAGAATATTCTTACAGCACATAGCCGTATCCAGTTCTTATAATACATCCATGAGTTACTTGTATATATCTATATATAGCTAGTACTATAATTATCATTATCTGCCCCTAAACTGACCTAAACTGTTTTTGGTGTGTTTTATTTTGAAATTATTTTCCTTGTGTCCATTTAAGTTTGCATCCCTCATGTATTTAATACCAACCTCACACCAAATGACTCCATGCTCACTATCAACTTGGTTTGCTGCTTCCTGTTTGGTGCTGAAGAAATTCTGCTTCCCTCTCTGCTTGACAAGCTCCAGCCTTTGTCAGGAGGACACAGTCAGGCCCACGAAAAATGACTGAAACACTGAGTATCATCTGCTGCTAATCAAGCTAGCTTCAGAGACTATACCCTGCTGCCACCACAAGAGGGCAATAAATTACATGATGGCTGCAAACAGGCATCAGATCCTTTATGGGAAAGAATACTTTTCTGAGATCAGATGTAAGGAGAGAGATCACTTCACTTCAGTATAGTTTGAGTCAATCATCAACCTCCAGGGCTGAAACATGAAGCCATCACTGAGGAACCAAAACCTGCAGTTCCTCTAGTGACCACTAGAGTCTGGCTCCAACAGTGAGCCAATCCCCATAGGCCCCCATGTTAAAATGTCCAACTTTACAGCAGAAATAAACATGTTTACAGCCTGGTACAAAAACAGTTTTAGTCTCTAGAGCTAATTTCCTCCTTCATGACGACTGTTTATATAACTCACCTGTTTACATTTTGTTAAGGCTTAAAGTTATGGAGAATTGAGGGCGTGGCCGCTATGAGTGACAGGTGGATGAGTGTATAATTGCCACAAACCCACATGCACCAAAGTCTCAGCTCCACACATGGCCTGCCTCTTTTACCATTTTTGGATTAGCTGGGAGTTAGGGGCGGAGTCAGACACTGCCAAGATGGTGACGGTATAGCAGCTCACTCGATGGATACGTCCATCTTTATTTACAGTCTGTGGTTCCAATTGGTTGAGCACTGTTTCTCCTGCTTCCTGACAGAATGTGTGATTTAATTTGAGGAAATAGTTGGAATATTTTGAGAAAAAAGATAAACAACACAGTATTTTTAAAACTCTGTTAGGGTGAGTTACAACAAAGTATTATGACTTTACTCTTCAGTAGATCCACTGTTTGACTAGAACCATTTCTACTGTTGATGGTAGTTTTCCAATTAAACATTTACAGGGACTTTGTTCATGGAAACAGGTTTAGAAAAATAATTTTCAAATGTTCAAACTTTTGATTTGGAGGATTTTGTGGGTTACTTAGTAGAAAATCCATCAGTAGAAAAACAACAGAGAAGTAAAGTGGGTGATGAAATGTTCTGTTATTTAATCATTTGTCCTCTTTCATAGCTTCATTTAGCTTCTCTGTTTGCTCGTGTGGAGACAGTGATGTGTCTTTAACCTGAGAGCAAGAACCATTAATCAGCACCTTCACCTGCTGACACCTGACTACGTTGAGCCAATCAGTTGAGAGGATCCACCATGACTGACGCCTGCTGCCAGTCGTGTTTTACCAGCAGTTCATCTGAAACAGACTGAGACCTGAGTTGAGTCAGAGCTGCAGCTGACAGGTAAGCTGTCGGGTGAGCTGGTGCAGCTGTGTTACTCACCTGGCATGCTGCTCCTCCAGAACACATTCTTTGATTTTAATCTGCCGCTGCAGCTCCACCACCTGATAGGCCAACTGAAACAAGACAACAGAACAAGAGTGAGGAGGACTCTGTCCTGGTCATGTGTAATCTGACTCACAGGAGTTTATTCACACAAGTGTCCTTTAATGTTCCTGTTTCCAGGCTACATCAGTCTGAGTTCAACTGGACTGGAGTTCAGTCCAGTATGTGGTCCTGTATCAGGTCTGAAAGGGAGACATGTGAGGTAAAGATACTGTGAGATTTGACAGGAGCAGGTGCATGCAGGTAAAAACAACAGGAAGGTATTGTAGTTAGTTGTCTGAACATCATGATCCACCACAGCTGATCACAGCTGATTCAGTCTGACCACAGAGCAGTGAAATGGTTGATGAATCTAATATGGTCTAAAAAACGAACACTGACCGAATCTATGGCAACATAGATACTATATACTGTATACATATACTTCCTTTTTTAAACGTGCACAGTGTTTTTATCCTCACATGTCCAGCCCATCAAACATCCTGGACTCATTGATTAACTGCCACTGGATCCTGAGTCCCCTTCAGACTGGTTTCTACTTCAGCTGTGACTCCATGTTTACATATTTATCAGAAGCCGGAGTCGATCACTCCTCTGTCAAAGACGCCTGAACCTGGGTCAATTATTTGTAGATCAGATCAGCATCAGTGTGTGAAGGTCTGGACAGCTGCAGGGTCCATGTTGGGACCTGTCCTTTAACTGAGATGTGTTTCCATGCCTCCTCTGCGAATGGTGAGAAATGAACTACAACAGAAGCCTCTCTCTGGTTGTTGAAGCAGTTTTTCCCTCAGTTCTGGATTTCAGAAGTCTCATATAAACACTCTTGAGGACTGGACTAGACTGGACTGGACTCCACCACATTACGTTGGCTGTCCACTGTCTGACAGACATAATAACCTTGGGCACTGATTCATATCCAAACTAAAATAGAAATGACTCATCTTGGCTGCTCAGGTCCAGACTGAACAGGCTCCATTGATTGGTTGACACCTCTCTCTCTCTAATTTAGCCAACTGAATCCTCCATGAATAAATAAACTAGAACCATCTGGAGAGTTCTAAAACCAGGATCTGAGGTTTACATATGTAAACATGTAGTCCAGACCAGGACCAGGACACTTGTGTTCAGCTTTCCACCACATGTTGAAGTGATGGTGATGAGGTGATACTTTACAGCAAATACACACATTTTATATGTTGTGTACATGTCTTGCTGTTGTTTAGTTGGAATTGTTGTGTGTTGTTGTCAGTTTGGTTTCTGCTCTCACCTCTCCTGTAGTCTTCTTCAGCTGGTTGTTTTGGTGGAGCATAGAGGAGATGGAGCTGCTGCTGGTGGAGGAGGGATGCCTGAATGCACGAAACAAACGTAACCTCAGCATCATCACACAAACACACAAACACACAAACACAAACACCCACAAACACACACACACACACACACACACACAGTCTGAACTTACTCTGTACAATGTGTGTCAGAGCTCAAGTGTCTCTAGGTGAGTTACCTGACAGAGCAGCTCAGTATTCCTTTGGCCAGGCTGGTTTTCTCCAGCAGCTGAGTGTCTGAAAAGAAACGACAAACACGATCAGTGAAGTCCTGATCCTGATCCAGGTCCTGGTTTCTACCTGACCAGTGACCTTCTGCCACAGATAACAACACCTCAGCTGTAAACAGTTGTGATCATTTTAAGTCACAAAGTCCCAAACACAGAAAAAGTACAGCAAAAACTCAATAGTAAATTAAATATTGAATTTCTTGCTAGTTAATGCAGTAATGCTAGTAATGGATGCTAGCTTGTCAACAACAACTGTAAGTTATGCTAACATTAGCTGGAGAGCTATATGATGAAAAATAAAATAAAATAAACATAAAAAAACAGACACACCAAACTCCATTCAAAATGTGACACAGTAAAGATTCTGTGTCTGGGTTTTCATCTTTCAAGTAAAAATCTTTTTAATCTTGATTTCAAAACACAGAATGGGAAAATAAAAATTTTGCTCATTTTACTTTAGTGTCTGATTTGATTTTAATTCTGTGACAAAAGTTGATTCTTTAGCTCTTTTAAGTCAAATGAAATCAGTTCTTTAAGCTAATTTTTCAAAACAACATGCTTTCCCCTTCTTTCTTTATTTTTTGAAACTCTTTGACTTCCCCTGAACCCAGATAAGTATCATAACATAGATGGATCCTGTCTTTAACTTTACTTAAAGGTGAATTTTAACCTTTAGTTTGTATCAGTGGCTATTTCCCTGCAGGTCAGAATAATGTGATCAGTGGTATCTAGTCATGTATGATGACGGAGCGAGATGTTTCATGCATCAGCATCATGCTCCCCATCACCAGCTAACAGTGTGCAGATGATAAAAGCAGCAGTGACCAATAATAATAATCTGTCACACATGAGTCACCTCTCAGAGGAAGTGGAACAACATAGGGTTTAGTTTTCTGACAACTTCCTGTCTCTGAATGGTAACAAAATAAAGGAACTTGTTTAATGTGAACAGAGTCAGTCAAAACATTAATTTAACCTCTGATAACTAAAGCTGGATCTATGGTGGATGCAAGGCGTCAACACAAGTCTCTGTAGATAGCCACTGTGGATAGAGTGAACAAAGCCAATGATACATTTACATTTTTTTAACAGAGTCTGCCTCAAGTCTATTGAATACTTAACAGGAGTCCTGTCTGCAGTAAACCTTTCTGTTTATTGGAATGGTAACCAGTTAGGACGTCTCTGAATCAAACTGTGTTCACATCTTCTATTCTATAGTTTTTAATGACAATGCTCAACTCCAATTTAAAAAAATCTATTTGCAACTTTGCTTTAACAGGTGTGGAATCACACAGGATGCCTCTGAGCCAAACTCTATTCAGAAAATATCAGTTTATTACTGGATGATGATCCTAATGTCGTTGTATGCAGAGTTTATGAAAATAAAGAATTTCTAATTTCAGGGTGCCAAATCAAAATCCTTGGCTTCAGCCTTGTCATTAAAAACTATAAAAGATTTTTGAACACAGTTTGGTTCAGAGATGTCCTACCTGGTTACCACTCTAAAAGACAGAGACGTTTACTGCAGACAGTACGCTTGTTAAGTAGGATTTATTCAATAGACTTCAGCCAGAAGTTAAAAAAAAATGTAATTCATCATTGGCATTTTGATTTCAGAGCTGACAACTGACACAATTCAATCTCAGCCTTGTGATTAGAAATCATTAACTAATCTGAGATTTTTTTTGGGGGGTTTGGTTTCAAAAATCACACATTTACAGGACTCTTGTTGTTACTACCTGGGATTTGGACCATAACAGACATAAAATAAACTAAACACAGTTCTTTTGGATTTAGTTAGCTATCCTAGTTTAGTCCTGATGCAATAAATGTCTCTGAACCAAATTCTATTCAGAAAACCTAATTGGGAAAAGTTGAATAAAGTGAGATTATTAAGAATAGGAGTTTGACCCAACACCAATTGAAGAACTCTACAGGAGTGAGTACCGCAATAAACCTACAGACAAATTAAAAGGGAAAACCAACATAAAGTGTCTCAGTAAGGTGTTGTTCCACCATGTCTCCAGAACAGCTTCACTGCTCCAAGTCTCTGAACTCTACTGGAGGATGAACCATTCTTCATAAATATATTCCATCATTTGGTGTTTTGATCTAACATGTCGCTCCAACATCTCACATAGGTGTTCATCTGGGTTGAGATCTGGTGACTGTGAAGGTCACAGCATATGATCCACATCATCTTCATCAGACCATCAGTGGCCCCATAGACAATGTCATCCTTTTTCTACACTCATTTTTCAGGTTTTTCCTTAAATTTGTCACTGGCTGTGTTTTCCCCAAGGATGACACCAGGTAACATTTCTTTCTGAACAAAACTCAATTTAAATATCTCAGTTTTCTATAGAAATGTTGATTTAAATAAAGTTTAGCTCAGCTCAGTTTAAGTATCCTACTGTGTTTTTCATGAGATATGCAACCAGGTAGAATATCTGTGAACCAAACTCCACTCAGAAAACATCACTTTATAGTTGGATTTTTGATTTCAGGGATGACAACTGAAAATACTTTACTGTAACTGTAATTAAACTGTAATGATTAAGTGATAAATAAAGTGCTACTTTACTTGCCTTGACTGGAGTAAATTCAGTTTTTGTTGTTAACTAAACTTCAAACTATTAAATAAACTGATTTCCAAATGGAGTTTGGATAAGAACAAGGGTTACTGGGCTTTCCAGTAGTTTGTAGCAACATAAATCTGGACCACACTGAGCGTTAACTGAAGCCAGCCCATTGTAGCTGTGTTCAAACAGATAAACGTGTACTTGTCCGTCGTACAGAAGCGGATTAGGTCCTGGAACATGACGTGCTGACTCAGGTCTCGGTTCTTCAGCTGACGGACGATGTCTCTCTTCCAGGTCTCCACCGACCTGCCGCTTCCTCTCGGAGCCAGGACCCGGCCGCTCCGCTCCGACACCACGGCTGAATCTGTCATGACACTGCGGGAGTTGACTGTCACAGCGGCCATGATGCCCGCAGCCCGGGCTGCTTGACGCTTTGTCCGCGCTGACAGACGCTCACAGCCCAGCCAGATGTTACAGACAGCTCGGTGATAACGTTCCGGCTCCTCTGACCACCGCCATGTCAATCTCCTCTTTCCTGTTGTTGTTGTTGATGTTTGTTTGTTTTCTTTTCAACTTTTTCTCTCTTCTGATTCGTCATTCTGACGGGGGTGGTGGCTCACGCTGCCAGCTGCCGGGTGTGTTAGCCAATCACCGCCCGCCTTCGCGTTTCCTGTTTTGACTTTAAGGATTAAAAAAAATATACAAATGCAGCCCACGGTACACACCACCTGAAGATTTTACCTGTTTACGTCATCAACACTAACTGATTTCTTTTCTGTAACGTAATGTTGAATGTGCGGAATCCCTGAAGTCCCAAAATGCTGAATGTTTTAAACAGAGTTTGTTTCAACGCATCAGGAAGAAAGACAAAGATTCGTCTGTTATGCCTGCAGTGAACTTGTGAGTATTAACCTGAGGCCTGTACTAGGAAGCAGGATTTGAGTTTATCGGGGTAACTTCAGGTTTAACTCTGGGTTTTCAGTCCTACGACGGTGGTTCACTTGTTACCAGGGTAAATTACCTGGTAACTTACATTGAACTCCTAACCTGCTCAAGTGCAGGTTAACTTTGAGGATCAGATCAAAGCCTATCATCCGCTAAACTACTGACCAATCAGATACCTGGAAAAACGGAGTCATCATTCATACAGGATCCTGACAGGGACAAAAGAGTTTACAATAAAGTGATCAATAATAACGAGCAATAAAAAAAATTTTTATGGAATAATTTTCCTGTTTGAGTCTTTCCACGTGTCCACTCTGGTTTTAAAACAAAGCTTCTAAAAAGAATGCTCGGAGTGTTTATCACGCTAAATAAATAGCCTATATAATAACTTATAGCTTCATTTTAATTGAACAAATGTTCTTTAATCCGACAGGATTCCTGACAGTGATGAAGTTTTCACTCTCTTCTTCATCACTGCAGCTCAGAATAACATGAGGAGACTCTGTGACCACAACTGGAAATAAAAACCAAACCTCTGATGTCTTTGATTAGAACAGTGAGCCACACACTGTTTATTATTTCCATGATTATAAATGAACATTTCAGACGGGCTGACTCATCAGACATCAACTAGTCCTCTCCTCTTTTCTTTCTCTCCTCTCTGCAGCAGAAAGTCTGACATTAACTTTAGATGTTTTCTCTGCATCACGTTCGTAAGTTTGTTCATCATCAGACAAAAGAGCGAAAATACTCACGCAATGTTAATTCATGCACTTATTTGCAATATATCTTTAGTCTGACTTTAATAAAAATTATATTTAGACATGGAAATATTTATTATTCCAGTCATGTGATCATATTTTCATTTCACCTTGTTGAATATAATTGTGAACGTTGCTATATCGGAACTTACTGGGAAGTATCAGCGTTTCTTCTCATATATTAAGAACTTCATTCATGGTTCAGACGTTGTTGCTTATAATTAAAAACTCCGCCTCTTTCACAGGAACGCGCTCGTAACAGGTACCTCGGCCAGGTAAACCCAGGGTTAACTGAGCCAGTTGGCAACCAGCTTCGTAGTACAGGTTATCCAGGAGGGACAATGTTAGGTTCAGTTAACCCAGATAACTAAGTTATCCTGGGTATGTTGAACTTGCTTCGTAGTGCAGGCCTCTGGTGTGAAACTTTCAACCAAATTCCAATCAAAGAACATCATTTTTTTGTTAGATGTGTTTCTTGTGGACGACTGAAAACCTATTTAATTTCAGCCTTGTGGATGTACACAAAGATTTTGTTTTTGGCCTAACGCCATTGAGACACTCTTTAATCAAGACTTAAAAATCAAATTAAAAAACTAAAATTAAAAATATCTTGTAAGGCTTAGGGGCTCAGTGTGAATGTGTTACATTCATACAACACATTTCAAAATTAAGTCATTTTGTGCTGGCGAAGTTTATAGAAGACCAAAAAAAAAAAAAAAAAAAAAAAATGCACCTGCCAAAAGGGCAAAAAATGTGTTTAACTACTAGAGTATTTTTTCAAATTAACAGGATATTTTTCATTTAATATTTATTTATATTTCCACAACCAAAAAAGTCTCCTAATAACATCACATCATGTTATTAAAAGTTATTAATAATTATTAAAACATTAATTAGTACTCATTCATTATATTTGCTGTAATTCGTTGTTTAATCCAGAAACACAAAGTAATTGAAATTTTATTTTTCAGATCTGCAAACTCAGGTCTTGAAAAAGGTGAAGTCGAGACTTCAGACATGATTCACCTGCTCTGCACATTTTTTTTATTTTAAGTTTTTTTAATTGTGGAGTATTTTTTCCTGAAATTACATTATTTCACTTGTTTTCTGTTTTTATTTTTTATTTTTGTTGGTCTAGTGAGTATTTGGCACTGTTCTGTGATTGTTGTTTTATGGCAGAATGAAATCAACTCATTGATCATGTGATCACATGATAGGCAACCAACGGCTCAGTGTTGAATAAAGTTTGCATGTTCTTTAAAATAAAAATGAATGATTCACTTCTTCTGTGGACAGCTGAAAATGAAAGTATATGAAGCCTGAAATAAAAAATATTACATCCTATGAGATATTAAACATTTATTAAGAAACATATAAAGCTGCTGTTTATGTACAAACACAGTGATTTAAAACTCAAAACAGTTCTCTGCCATAAAACATAAACATAAGGTGCTTTAAAATTTAATACTGATGTTTTAAAATCTGTCAGTTGTTGAATCAGTTGTTAATTGACGCTGAATGAACAGCAGCACTCTGTCACTCAGGTTTACGTTGATGATGTGAATTTTGTCCTCTCTCAGCCTCCATACACATACACAAGACTCCTTGGTCTTGGATCAGGTTTGGTTCAGTTTTTTCTGGGTCATCTGAACCAGCAGCTCCGAGTATTTCTCCAGCAGAGACATCGTCCTGTCATCCCCCAGTTCAGCAGAGGGGATGCTGCTGCCCCGCCCATCTCCCTGCAGGACGACCTGCAGCTCAGTGTGAACAAAATCAACAGCCTCCTGCAGGACGGACAACATCTGAAGACGCCGCTCTGCAGCGCTGGGCGATGCACCGAGCTGCAGGACGGAAACATAGACAAAAAATAAACTGAGATTAAAGACAAAACACATAATGTTATGAAGATAAACATGAATTTTTTTTTTTTTTTTTTTTAAAAGAAATCATAATATTAGTTAAAGTCACAAAGTTTTAAGAAAAATTCACAAAATTACAAACATAGTAGTCATATGAGGAGCAGTCATATTTGGAGCACTCATATTTACAGAAATTATTTTAAAAAACTGTATAATTAAAAGAAAAACTAACATTACAACAAAAGTTTCAATATTTTGCTAAAACAATAGAGATATTTAAAGAAATGATTTAAAAAAAATCTGAGCTTTCAAGAAAAAAGTCAAAATGTCATGAAAACAAAGTACTCAAATACTTTGAGGGGAGACTCAAATTGTGGAAAAATTACAAGAAAAGTTAATATTACAAAATAAAGTTTTGTCATCAGTCATAGTAGATGCACTATGAGAACATTTTTAAAAGTTAATATTTTGAGGAAAAAGATGTCAAGAGTTAAGACTGAAAGAGAAGTGGATACTTAAAATATTAAACTTTTTCCTTCAATAATATAATTTTATCTTGTAACATTTGGACTTTTCGTGAAATATCTTGAGAAAAAGTTTCAGTGTTTTCCAAGTGTTGTGATATATTGAGAAAACGTATTTGAGGAAAAAGTAATATTTCACAAAAATCCCATTATCACAAGAAAGAATTGTAATATTTAGAGTGAAAGTCATAATATTAAAAAAAAAATAGTGTAATTTTTCACGATGTTGATCTCCTACATCCAAAACCCAACATTGTTTTCAAAACATTTTTTGAACTTTATTCCGTACATCTCAGAATGAGGGTCCCAAACTCTGTCAACATCTCACTTTAATATTTAATTATTTAATACTTTCTTAAATGAAAAACCTTAAAATAAAATACTTTTTTTAAATTTATTTTTTTTATTTTTTTATAAATTCTATACAATATTTCTATATTTGTTTATTCAAAGAATGTGTCATCAGTCGACTGCAAACACGACAACTGATTCAAACAGCAAACAAACAACACACAGTCAGAGTCAGTACTGAACCTGTTGGTACAGGTGTATGGCTCGTCTCGCCGTCTGTCTCAGCTCGTTGGCGACCTGCTGACACTGCTGCAGACTGAGAGACTCGTCATCATCATCACCTGCTCCTGTAAACAAACATCAACAATAGCAAACATGGTGATTTATCTTCAGTCTGAACACGCAGTTTGTCCTCAGGTTGGTGCTATACGAGTCAGACGTCCCTGTGATATCATTAAAGGAAGTTAGCCATCTGTAGTGGGCAAGGTTACCTGACTTTGGAGGCGGAGTCTTTCTGATGAAGGATAGGAGGAAGAGGTGGGAAGACTTATCACTTTGTAAGTGACAGTTGTGATGTGATGAGAAATAACAACAATAAAGAAGTCATAATATTTAAAAATGAGGTGTAATGTTTGAAGATTTTTTTTGAGAAAATATTCGTATTATCTTTGGGTGATCTAAGATCTTTATACTGTTAGTCTTTGTTCAGAGTGCGGGCTGATGCGATTTGTTTCTCAGACCTGGTATTACAGTTTTTCTCGATCGCTTTGATGCATTTCACTCATCAGAAACATCACTCACAACTCTTGATGCAGTTTTCAAAACAGTTCATGCATTTCTCCTAACACTAAATCATCTGTGCAAAAGCCTCTTAAACAATCAAAACCTTGTTCACATGTGTTCAAAATTCAATGAACCACTTCAACATTGTCACTAATGGATGAAACCTTTTCACCAGAGCTTCAGACTTACACACAAAATGTTTTGATGTTTTGATAAAAACCTTACTGACTTTAGAAAAAGAGAAGTGCAAAAATAGAGTAAAAATGTTCAGACACAAACTGAACTTTAGTTACAACAGTAACGTGGAAAAATAACTATATTCTGTTTCAACACTGCATTGGTGTTTATTGTACTGTGAATATTTCAACCTCTCACAGATCACTGTCCTGTCACTTTAAAACACTGTATAGGAATGTAAATACAAGCCTATAGACAGAAGAGCTTTAGATTTAGAACGTCAGCTATAATTTAACACATGGATTTAAAATACATGTCCACATGCGTCTCGATTGACCACCTGTGATCGGATCTCAGTTCCCTACTTTATATGCAAATAAACATTGTGTCGTTGTTTTTAGCCAATCAGACTGTGGATGTCATCAGAGTAGTTGGTCCTTCAATGTGGCCAGGACACATTCATGTTCACACTGCTAAAAGAACGTGGACACATGTGGTCTGAGTGATCCGATCTCAAATGGGTCCTCAATGCATTCACGCCTGAACTTGGAGCTGACCACTGGTGATTGGGTCACCTGAGACTGATGTTAATACCAGGTGTGAACAGGGCCTCAGATCAGATCTTTAGGACAAACTGTGTCCAGACATCACAAACTGTGGTTGCTGTGGTAATGACGTAGGCGTAGCAGCTTCCAAACGCTGATGCTTGACACCAGGAACACACTGCCTGAGTTGCGTGTGCATCCAAGCACACCAGCTGTGTCTCTGCTGCTGCAGCTCTGTCTCTCTACATAGAGTTTGCAGGTTACTGGAATGCTGATTTCTTTTAATTATTAATTAATTAATTAATTTCTGATTTATTTTTAACCAAAAACATCACTAAGGTCTTCATCTGTTTTTGCTGGGAGTCCATTCTGAGACGGAAATCTAACTGAAATCACATTTCAAATGTCTTCCAAATGTGGTCTGGACTTTCTAAAATCAATCTGGATTCTGACTCTAGTCCAGCAGTCTGAACAAGGCCACAGTGAACAGGTGAGATCAGTCTGTTAGTTTACCTGAAGTTACAGGTTCAGTTCACCCCCTCACCAATGGCCAGTCTTACCAGTTAAACCAGTCTGTGTGGGACCAGCTGGGTCACCTCTCTTACCTGTATCAGTTTGCATTCTAGTCTTGGTCTGTCCTGGACTGTCCGCCTGCCTGGAGGTGGAGCAGGTGGTGATGTCCGAGGCCGAGGTGGTTAGCGTTTGGTTTTGATTGGTTGGCGTCTCCTCGACGCTGCTGGTGCGCAACCTCCCAACTCGACCCGGTGACATCGCCTCAGTGGGTGTGGTCAACACCTGAGGGCTCGCTGCAGGTACACAGAGCTGAGAGCTCTGATACGATAGAGCGACACTGATGGACACAAGAGGACGAACAGGACACAGTCAAATCATACAAGTTTAATAGACATTTCCTTTTTTTTTTTTTTTTTTTACATATTTCTTTATTATTTGTCTTTCTGAATTTATCTTTATTGAAAGAGTAGAACCAGATGTTACCTGCTGGTCTGTTCCTGAAGGGGGTCAGATTCAGCCAGCAGGGGGGCAGGAGGCTGGGGTTCTGAAGAGGACGACAGATTTTCCTTGTCGTCCTCCACGGAGGTGGAGGGGTCCTGGCTCACTTTGGCCCTGGAGCTGGCTGTGGTTCCCAGGTATCCGAGCCGCAGCGGCCCTTGCTGGACTGCAGACATCACGCTGCTGTTGTGGGCTGTCAGTGCCCTGGAGCTGACGTCTGATTGGTTAAAGAGGGAGGTGATCAGAAACTGAAGTCTGATGACAGAGCATGGTGGAACAGGTGAGTGAACTTTAACCAGACTCAGTGTTTAAAGCAACAATGACCGAGTCCCCACTGTGACCTCCAGGTCAAAGTTCACCTGAGATCTGTTTAGATGGGATCAACCATCAATTTATAATCAGACAGGACAGTTTGTTGTGATCATCAGCCTTGTTGACACAGACTCATGAAGAAAACTGGACCAGTCTCAGTCAGCTGGCAGTTTCTCTGGACCTTTAAAGAAATAGTTGGCATTTTGGGAACATGTTGATTCTCAGACTGATCCCACTCTCAGTCTACATCTACACTAACACAGGTTCACACCTTCACCACATTTCCTCCTGACATCAGATGACATACACACCCACGGTCTCTCCTGATTGGCTCTCATCAGCCTGGACTACCAGTGGTGAATACAACATGATAATGAATTACAGTGTTCCTGACCTTGCTGTCTTTGCTAGCAGCTGTTGTTCAGTTACACTCTGTATTTTAACACTACAACTGTCTTTACTGTTCCATTCACAGTATATACTGTAACTAATTAACTGCCGAAGCAGACATGCTTCCTGTTTACATCGATTCGCACATGTACAGTATAGGTGGTCATGTGATGTGTGTTTTCAGAGATCGTTTCTGTTACAGAGCTTAAACAGTCATCTGGACTTTGATCATTGTAGCGGACATTGGTTAACGCCAGTAACCGGACACAAGAGGTGTATGGTAAAGGACACTGGGGTGCTCTGGATTATCAAGGAGAGTCTCCCATGTACGCTTTATCACCATCAAACTATAACCTGGACAGGAAACAGGGACGAAATGAGTTCCTCTCACCAATAAACAAACTTTTAAGATATCATTGGAATTTATGGCTAGTTCATGGAACTCATCCCGAATCAACACCCCCACAACAATTGGGAGACAAACAGAACACTCCCCACAGACTGACACTGAGTCCATGTTGCACCAATGAGACTCACCTGGGACTGATAGGTGGGTGCCACCTCGTATCAAGCAACATGAAAAGGGACATTTAGCATTATTAAGGTGCTAAGCCATTACAATTAACACTATGGACTCATTTCTCTCAAGAGAAAACACTACTATCACCTTTAACACCCTCTCATACACAAAGGGGGGTCTCATGAGGAATCACAGACCCCTGCCATAAACCATCCTACATTCCAACCTGAGCTGATAACCATTGTTCCACATTTTAAAGCATGAATTATAGTCCAAAATTCATTTCCATAGCCCAAAAGGAAGCTGAGATACATTTTATCATTTCTGAGGTAAATATCCACCACGTGACAATACTGCCATCTAAGGACCACTCTGGACCCCTCATCGTCTAGGGAATTAACCGATAAACAATCTAATACATCACTTTACTATTACTATTTGATGTTGTAGCTTTAGCCATGTATTTGTATGATTAAGAATTGCTATCTTTGTGTTGGCCAATGTAATCTATGTGTACTTTTAACCCATGATAATATCATTAGGCCAGTTGTATATTCCAAGCAATAGCTACAGTCGTAGTCAAAAGTTTACATACACTTGTAAAGAACATAATGTCATGGCTCTCTTGAGTTTCCAGTTATTTCTACAACTCTGATTTTTTTCTGATAGAGTGATTGGAACAGAAACTTCTTTGTCACAAAAGACATTCATGAAGTTTGGTTCTTTTATGACTTTATTATGGGTTAACAGAAAAAGTGACAAAATCTGCTGGGTCAAAAATATACATACAGCAACATGAAATAGCAATTTTGGTGATTTAGAAAGTTGTGTCAATGAAATGAGCTTCATAGCATGGTCTCTTAACTTCTTGTGAGTGATTATGAGTGACTACAGCTGGTGACTTCTCTGAGGCCATTTAAATAGGGCTCATTGGATACAAACGCCCACAAACGCTACAATGGGAAAGTCAAAGGAGCTCAGCATGGATCTGAAAAAGCGAATCATTGACTTGAACAAGTCAGGAAAGTCACTTGGAGCCATTTCAAAGCAGCTGCAGGTCCCAAGAGCAACAGTGCAAACAATTGTTTGTAAGTATAAAGTGCATGGCACTGTTTTGTCACTGCCACGATCAGGAAGAAAACACAAGCTATCACCTGCTGCTGAGAGAAAATTGGTCAGGAGGGTGAAGAGTCAACCGAGAACCACCAAAAAGCAGATCTGCCAAGAATTAGAAGCTGCTGGAACACAGGTGTCAGTGTCCACAGTCAAGCGTGTTTTGCATCTCCATGGACTGAGAGGCTGCCGTGCAAGAAGGAAGCCCTTGGCTCCAAAAGTGCACCTTAAGGCTCAACTGAAGTTTGCTGCTGATCACAAGGACAAAGATAAGACCTTCTGGAGGGAAGTTCTGTGGTCAGACGAAACAAAAATCGAGCTGTTTGGCCACAATACCCAGCAATATGTTTGGAGGAGAAAAGGTGAGGCCTTTAACCCCAAGAACACCATGCCTACCGTCAAGCACGGTGGTGGTAGTTTATGCTGTGGGGCTGTTTGCTGCCAATGGAACTGGTGCTTTACAGGAGTTAAAATGGGATAACGAAGAAGGAGGATTACCTTCAAATTCTTCAAGATAACCTAAAATCATCAGCCCGAAGGTTGGGTCTTGGGCGCAGTTGGGTGTTCCAACAGGACAATGACCCCAAACACACATCAAAAGTGGTAATGGAATGGCTAAATCAGGCTAGAATTAGGGTTTTAGAATGGCCTTCCCAAAGTCCTGACTTAAATCCCATTGAGAACATGTGGACAATGCTGAAGAAACAAGTCCATGTCAGAAAGCCATCAAATTTAACTGAACTGCACCAATTCTGTCAAGAGGAGTGGTCAAAGATTCTCGAGAAGCTTGCCAGAAGCTTGTGGATGGCTACCAAAAGTGCCTAATTGAAGTGAAAATGGCCAAGGGACATGTAACCAAATATTAGCACTGCTGTATGTATATTTTTGACCCAGCAGATTTTGTCACTTTTTCTGTTAACCCATAATAAAGTCATAAAAGAACCAAACTTCATGAATGTTTTTTGTGACAAAGAAGTATCTGTTCCAATCACTCTATCAGAGAAAAATCAGACTTGTAGAAATAACGGGAAACTCAAGAGAGCCATGACATTATGTTCTTTACAAGTGTAGGTAAACTTTTGACCACAACTGTATGTACCTGATGTAGGCCGTTATTAAATATGAATGGGCCATGGTGAGAGTAGAATACGCAACACTTGCGCGTAAAACCAAATTAAATAAAACAAACTTAAGATTTTATTTCTTTCTCTATTGAAACAAAGAGAGGGAAAATCTAAGGGGTGGCAATAACTGTCAAAGCCCCCGCGGCGAGGATAAAACAGCTGGATAGGTATTGTTTGATATAGTTTCATATTCATTAACATTGTTCATTGTATTTCATCTGTGCCTAGTTAGTAAATACGTTTAATTAACTTGACCCAGTCATTACCCTGTGTTTTCTTGAAGTGGAGATCGGAGATCAATGTAATTGAGAAATCACAATTTTTGATGCGAGATTGATCAAACTAATCCATAACTTTAATCAAACTGTTCTCCCTGAGGACTGGTGCCCCCTTTTTAACGAGAGCAAATTCTAAATTGTGGTATTCACACTACATCGTTTTAGTTTTAAAATGAAAACAAAGTAGTGTGGATGTAGCCTTAGTGAATGGAGGCTAGATATTTCCAGTCGTTATGCTAAGCTAAGCTAACCTACATGAGAGTGGGATCAATCTGAGAAAAGCAGTTGTCCTCTCCTGGTAATCATCCTGTGAGTCCTTAATGCGCCTCACAGACCCAGTGACTGGGATCCACTGAGCTGCAACTATTAGTGGATAATAATCAATTAGTTAATCAACAGAAAAGTTATCGATGACTATTGATAACTGATCAACTGTTTCAGTACTTTTTCTGATCAGATTTTAGACTGCTGGTTGGACCTGAGGACATCACCTTGGACTGACATCTTTGGTTTTCTTACACTTTATAGATTTATCGTTAGATCACAACAATATTATGCAGTCATTGATAGTTGTTATTTCCCCTGAGCTTTCAAATATAACCCCATCTACACAGAGCTGAAACATTTGTCCTGGTTATTGACTTCACTCCGTAATATTCCAGGATTTTGCAGGACCAGTGGGAACTATGACTGCGCGTCTGAGATGTGAAGTTCACACGGACCACAAACGCCAACACCTCCAACACCCCGTGAGTTTGACTGCACTAAGAAAATCACCAAGCATCTGAGTGTCCACACAAACACACCTCCCAGTGTTTCTCTGCACTGGACGACCACCACAGTGTGTCGTCTTCGTGTGGGGCGGCGAGAGGGCTGATGGGATATCATACAGGAAGCTCTTCTACGGAGGATGGAATGGCTGCATCTCACTGTAGTCACACACGCACACACGCACACACGCACACACACACACACACACACACACACACACACACACACACACACACACACACACTGTTGTACTGCTTTACTGTTTAAAGGAGCAGTCCAACATTTAAGATGTATGGCGTCCCTTGAGGTACATTGTCTGTATGTTACTTTACATGTCACTTGGTCATTTACTACGTTACTGTTACATTTGTGTTTTGTTCTGTTATTCTGTGAAATGATTTACAGCACAATGAGTCCTCCAATATGTTGAATGTGTTGTAAAGTCTCCTCATGTTGTTCTGAGCTGCAATGATGAAGAAGAGAGTAAAAGCTTCATCACTGTCAAGAATCCTGTGGGATTAAAGAACCTGTGCTCAGTTCAAATTAAGCTATAATAGTTATTATGTAGTTATTTACTGATAAACTCTCCTCTGTTTGTTAGAAGCTCTGTTTTAAAACCAGAGTGGACACATGGAAAGACTCAAACAGCAAAACATCCACTTATCTATACAAACATCTACAGACTTTATTATTTGTCAATTTATTGTAAACTCTTTTGTCCCTTCAGGATCCTGTAGAATGATGACTCAGTTTTTCCAGTGATCTGATTGGTCAGAGGTTTGGCTGTTGACAGGCTTTGATCTCATCCAGAGCAGGTGAGTTCAACATCAGTTACCATGGTGATATACCCTGGTAACAAGTGAACCACTGTCATAGGACTGAAAACCCAGATGTAAACCTTAAGTGATCTTCATAACATCAGCTCCTGCTTCATAGTATAGGCCTCATGTAGACTAATCACATCTGCACACTTCCTGTTTACATTTGTGTTTCAGTTACTTTGGCTTGTCATCTGAAAACCAGAAAAAAACAGAAGAATCTTTGCTGACTCACCACCACCACCACCGCCGCTGCTGCTTTCTTTCTGAGTCGACTCTGCTGATCTCACGTTGCTGCTCGACTCCAAGTTCATCTGAAAACAAACATTCAGTCTCAGAAGCTTCAATGACTATCAGCTAAACTGTAACACGTCACCATCATGTTGCTTCATTTGCAAATATGTTGACTCATACATGTGGAAATTATGTTACTTAGAAGTAATATGAAAAATATAAATATTTCACTGTAAAGGTAAAAACAGAAATGTGAAGCCAATAATAACAATAATAATAACAACAACAATAATAATAATAATGATCTTTAACTTTAGTGTTTGTTATACCTTTCTCAATTGAGTGTTTGTTCATTTCCAAAATTATAAACAAAATTATATCATGGCCGCCATTTTACTATATTTGTACTTGGACACTAATAATGTAGGGCGTCTTTAATATTATAAAAATATCACAATTTACAAATCATGAAGTATTTTGGCATGAAAACCCACAGTTATAAACATGTCCTGTACAAACATGTTGATGCATTGCTGCAATAAACAGCAGCAGCCAGTGTCTGTATATACATGTGTGTCACTCAGGTGTTTCAGACGTGTCTGTACCGATGTGTTGCTGATGTCATTCTCCTCTGAGATCCTGGTCGGGATGGATACGGGGGCTGGAGTTCGACTTGGCCACACCCTTAAGACACAGCAGTAACAAACAGTCATCACCATGAGAACAACCGCCAGGCAAACCCAGAGACCCCTCTGGGTCAAAGGTCAAAGGCTGAGTTCTGGATACCGACCTGATTCTGTCCTGGAAGCGGGATAGGAAGCGGGTGGAGATGCTAAGTCGAGGGTTCAGGAAGTGTTTTTCCTCCGGAGGCTGCAGAGTCCTCAGGTCAGTGTCAAACCTCTCTGAAAGGTCAAAGGTAACAAAGGCCTCAGTGCATATGAGCACGCAGCAGCAAGAACGTGAAGAGAGAAGTGAAGTGTGAGGAGACACTAAACTGAAGGAGAGGTCAACTACAACTCCCAGGGTGTATTTCACTAACATAGATCCAAACATGCAACAGCTCTGTGAGCTGTTGCATGTTTTTTTACAAACCTGATCAAACACTCAGATTATTTTCAGTATCAATCAATTTATTATCACCTCAATTAATCAATTCATTAATTTAAACATAGAATCAAAACACAGCACAAAGTCTAATTTTATCTACAACTACAATATTTGAGAAGCTGAATCCACCACAATTGATTGATTTTTAAAACAGTTGTTGATTGATTTTCTTAAAACTGATTCATTGTTTATTGATTGACTGATTGTTGCAGCTCTTTGATGAAATGTTTGAAATTCTCATTATTCAGTTCATCAGGCTTTGTATAACTTTGTATCTCGTTTTAGTATTTCTCCCCCTAGTGGTCGTTTGTGAGTAATCCTCAATTCTTTCATTTCTAATGCTGTTTTCTTTTCATTGCTTGTTTTAGTCATGTGATGCAGCGAGGTCATAGTTCAGAGATGACAATCAGGAAATCCTGTAGTTGACAAGTTACATGTGGTCAGAGTGCAGCTCAAGCTTACTTATCCTTTCCATCTTTTGTTTGTGTCTTGGAAAACATTGCTTGTGAGTACATTTGCAGTTTACAATTAAGTATGACAACACACAAGTGTCACACACACATCACTTGAATGTGGTATTTGTGATGTTGTAGCTGTTATTTACATAATTTCATGTTTGGTCACATATTATGTTGTTTAAATAGCATTCAGTATTTGTTATTATCTTAGAAATAATAACAATCACAACAAAGAGATCGTCGACTATAGGTATCGTGAGTGTAGTCTCATGTTTTTCGATGAGACCTGGTTAAACGACAACACCCCCGACCGTTGTGTGGATTTACCCAGCTTCACTGCAGAATGCGCGGACAGAGACGCCAGAGCAAATGGAAAGATCCACTGTCGGGATATTGAACTGTTGGCAGTTGGTCTTAGACCGTACTATGTACCGGGGGAGTTCTCACACATCGTCGCCATTGTTGTTTAAATCCAACCACGAGCAGGGCCTGCAGTCGCATGTGACCTCATTCACGAGACTGTTGAGAATACAGACGCAGCACCCTGACGCATTCATTGCAATATTGGGGGATTTTAACCATGTCAAGCTCACCTCTCACCTGACTGGCTTCACTCAGTATGTTAACCGTCCCACAAGGGAAAATAAGACACTTGATCTGTTGTACGAAAACATCAAGGAGGCCTACACTGCTTCAGCTCTACCACCACTTGACAGATCAGATCATAATCTGGTTTTTCTCCAGCCTTCCGACAAGCCCTGTGTACTGAGGCAGGCTGCAACTACCTGCCCATTCAGGAACTGGACCGCGGAGGCCAGTGAGTCTCTAAAAGACTGTTTTGAGTGCACAGATTGGAATGTCCTGTTGGAGTCACAGGAAAATGATAACAGCAAGGACCCTGACCTTGATAGAATGGTTGAATGTACCACGGACTACATTAACTTCTGTATGGACACTGTAATACACGCAAGGACTGCACACTGCTTTCCAAACAACAAACCCTGGATCACCAGTAACATCAAGACCCTCCTCAAGCAGAAAAAGGAGGCCTTCAGGGATGGAGACAGGGAGGAGCTCAGGTGTGTGCAACATGAGCTGAAGAGGAGACTGAAGCAGGCCAAGGAGGACTACAAAAAGAAAGTAGAGAGGAAGCTGCAGCACAACAACACCAAAGAGGTGTGGAAGGGGATGAGGACCACCACTGGCTATAAAGAGAAGAACAGCCAGGCAACACCAGGTGATGTGGACAAGGCCAATGAGTTCAACCTGTTCTACAACAGGTTTGACACAGCCTCACCTGTTCTCTCTCCCACTGCTTCAGCTGCAGCTTCTCCTACGGCATCTCCTCCACAACCTGACCCTGCAGCTGCAACTCCCCTCCACCACTTGGGTCAAAGTCTCCTGTCCTTTACAGCCGAGGAGGTGAGGGCGGAGCTCAAGAGGCTACGTCCTGGAAAGGCAACAGGCCCGGATGGTGTGTGTCTGAGGCTGTTAAAAGACTGTGCAGCCCAGCTGGCTCAGCCTCTCCAGAGGATCTTTAACTTCATCCTACAAACAGGGAGGGTCCTAGTCCTGTGGAAAACATCATGTCTTGTTCAGTCCCTAAAGTAGGAAGACTGACTGAGATAAATGACTACAGACCGGTGGCCCTCACATCACACATCATGAAGACCCTGGAGCGGCTGCTTCTCCACCTTCTGAGGCCACAGGTTGAACATGCACTAGACCCCCTACAATTCGCCTACAAGGAACATATTGCAGTGGATGTTTCCGTCCTTTACATGTTCCACCGGGCCCATTCTTACTTGGATGAGCCAGGTAGTTACATGAGGATTATGTTCTTTGATTTCTCAAGTGCATTTAACATCATCCAACCCCCCATTCTTAAAGACAAGCTGAAAAGGATAGGGGTGGATCTCTGCTTCACGTCCTGGATTGTGGATTACCTGACAAGACGACCACAGTACGTCAGGCTGAGTAACTGTGTCTCAGGGACAGTGATGAGCAGCACTGGGGCTCCACATGGGACTGTTCTGGCTCTGTTCCTGTTCACCCTGTGTACAGCCAATTTTAAATACAACTCTGAGTCCTGCCACATCCAGAAATACTCGGATGACACAGCTATTGTGGCGCGTATCAGGAACGGACAGGAAGAGAAGTACATGGATCTGACAATGGCCTTCAGTGAATGGAGCAACAAGAACTGCCTCCTTCTGAACACCTCCAAGACCAAGGAGATGGTCATGGACTTTCGGAGGTCTAGGCCCACCCTTCAGCCAGTCAACATTCGAGGGAAGGACATTGAGGTGGTGCACACTTATAAATACCTAGGTGTGCACCTGGACAGTAAACTGGACTGGTCCCTGAACACAGATGTCATCTACCTGAAGGGGCAGAGCCGGCTCTTTTTCCTCAGGAAGCTCAGGTCCTTTGACGTCTGCAGTGAAATGCTGCACATGTTTTATCAGTCAGTGGTGGCCAGTGTACTCTTTTATGCTGCAGTCTGCTGGGGCAGCAGCATGTCCGACATGAACACAAGGAGACTGGACAAGCTGGTCAAAAAGGCTGGGTCTGTGCTTGGCAGGAGTCTGGACTCACTCAGGACTGTTGTGGAGAGACGCATGCAATGTAAGATGGAGGCCATCTTGGACAATACCAACCATCCTCTCCACAACATTCTGGCAGGACAGAGAAGCAGCTACAGCTGCAGCAAACATCTCATCTCACTGCGCTGCAGAACAGAGAGGTTCAGGAGATCCTTTGTTCCTACTGCCATCAGGCTGTACAACACCTCAGCCAAAGGAAGTGGACTAATCTAATTATTATTGTTTATCTATTATATTTTATTTATATATTATAATTATTATTATTACTATTATTATCAACAATGAGCTAATGGACACATGAATTTCCCCTAGGGGATAAATAAAGTATCTATCTATCTATCTATCTATTAACCGCCATATATTTATTTTCTAAATCATCTATGGTTGCACTGCTTCTCTGTCCTCTGCTCTGCTCTCCAGGAGAGGCGGGGCTGCAGGTACACAGCATAAACACACACACACACACACACACACAGTTGATGACAACTATCATTGAACTTTACGTTACTGTAAGTGCAATAAAAAGTAAAAGGCCAATAAAAACTTTATCCAACCACCTGTTCAACAAACAACAAACAGAAAAGAGATATTTTCATCAGTTTCCTCCAGCAACTCCTGGTGTCTTTTAGACAAAACCACGCTGGTTAAGCTAATAGCGAACTGTTAGGAAATGCTACAACGCCAAACGCTGTCTGTATGTGATTCTAACTGATTATCTTAGTTTACCATGAATCTTAAAATGTGGCAGATTGTTGTTAACTGAGCGACTAGCTGAGACAAACCAGAACAATCAATTTAAATCCTGTTCTGAAATCATTCTTTTATTTCAAAAAAGAACCAGTCTGAGCTGGATCATTAAGTGTATGGATAAGAAGATAAAATCAGCTGGTTAATGTCTGAATTTGGGAGGATGAGCACATCACAGTTCAAATCCCTTCACTAGAAGTCTTGTTTAACCAGTGTTATTTTGTGATTATTATTTTTTATGGCGCACAGTGAGATCACTCACAAACATGTGAAGGATAACTTCATTTTAGTGTTGTCTGTTCATTAATAGATTGAGCTTTTTAATATTTTCTGTCCTTGTAGCTGATAAATACTCTCATAAAGTCATAAGTCATCTGCTGCTGCCTGAGAATTTATACTGAACAAGTGTTTAAGAAAATGTCTAACCCAGATTTTTGGATTTTCTGAAGGAAAATTAATCGTTTAGATTAATCAATTTATCGATAAAATAGTTGATAGATTAATCGGTAGAAAAATAGTAATTAGTGGCAGCCCTAGTTCAGTAACATTCAGAGGTCATTAAAGAAAATATTGAAACACACACTTCACAACTCTTTGACTGTGATTAAGATGAAGATGGTGATGATGCCATTCATACCTTCGTTCAGACTGGAGGCCAGAGTATCAAAGTGGTTCTTCAGAGAGTTTCTGTCCTCGTCGTCCTCCAGACCCAAAGAGCCCACAGAGCTGCCCTGACTCAGAGAGTCTGTGTCTGACAGAGGACAGAGGACACTTATTAAATAATGATGATGATTTGTGGATAGTTAGTGTGATGACATTAACATGATGTCTGAAACATGTAGAGAGACGACACACTTCTTGTTCACCTTCAGAGTGCTGTAATATATTTACTGCTTAAAGGTCTTCTATTGCATAAAGGTAGATGTCCATGTGTTGTTTGATTATAAAGCAGGTCTAGGTTCTATATTAATACTGTGAAAGTATCAAAGTGCTCAGTCCAGTTAAAACCAGCCGTCAGGACTTCTGGAACTTTGTGATGTCACAACTATACAGTAGGGCTGGGTTGAAAAAAATCGTTCCTTATTTGAATAATCCGATGTTGATTCATTAAACCTGAGACCGATCGTTTAATGTACGTCTTTTAGACTCTCCTGTGGATGTGTGAAGCCGTCACAATATGATCTTTTGACGTGAGCATAGGTGTAGAGCTGCCAGAGCCACCAGAACAATGCTCCGCCACTTGTCTTTTCTCAAAGTGATGAAATAATACAGTGATGTTGCTAGGTACGCGTCCTGCGTCCCTGACGCATTAAAATCTGAAAGGACGCAGCAAACTCACTATCCAGGCGTCCCAGGGACGCAACTAATTTTTCGCATGAAAAACGATACATTGTGAACAACAACTCGTGTTTAAAATCACAGTAACTAGCAAAAGTAACTTCGCTGTCAGCAGACCAGGCAAGCGCTGTTTCAACCCTCTGCGCTAGTGATGGGTCGGTCGCGAACGAGAGCCGGATTAGAGCCGGCTCTTTGAAGTGAACGACGGGAGCCGGTTCGCGATCAAGAGCGTTTTTTTTTTTTTTTTTTAAATTGTCTTTCAAAGCCGCATTGGTCAACATGTGTGGCTGTGGCAGCGTCTGTGTGACTACACTGAGCAGGAGGGGGGAGGGGAGGGGTTACAGACACTCGCATTTTGTGTTTTGTTTTTCACTGTACATGGTTGCACATTTTAACTTATATTTTGTTGAGTGATGTTTAGTTGATTTTGTGTTTTTTCACAAATTAAAATGGGTCTTTTTTATTTAAAATTTATTTATGTATATGTTAAGTTTATTAATAAAGCCATATACATACTATACATATGTTATATTTTATGTTTTTTTACATTAGTTATTCATTTTACACATAATTTGGTAATAAATTAATTTAAGTAACAAAAAATCTGAGGAGCCACTTGGGAGCCAAAAGAGCCGGCTCTCCACAAAGAGCCGGAATTCCCATCACTACTCTGCGCATCTACTCCGCGCAGACGTGATCCTGTGTACAGTATCGCGACATGCTAGTTTAGCCACTACCACAACAATTAGCCAGTCACCGCGGATTTCATTTCAACAATTAAAGATACAAACTTCATAGTAGTAAATAAACTCATGTTTCCACTGCTCAATGCTGTGTTCACTCATGTCGACAATGTTTTAACGTCTTGGGGACGTGCTGTAATGAAATAAATAAAACATACTCCGGTGGCGGTGATGAAAAATACTTTAACAGACTTTCCACTGTGTTAGTTAAGTTTCATTTGTGTGCTAAAAGTTTCACAGTGATTGACTCAGTTCATTTGATTTAGTTGATGTTCAGACAAAAAGATTTTGGTCTTAATTTGGTGACAATTTATTTGTTGACTCTGTCATGGTGATGAGAATGTTTTGTTTATGTGTTAAAATCAGCACTTTTATTGATAATTTATTTTGGTACTACAGACACATTTTGTTTTCATTTGAAGAATATAAGAAATAAAAAAAATTTATTTGGGACCCATTGAATTTCCTAGAGACCCACTCAAATCACCACCTGTGGGTCCCGGGGACTCACTACATTGAAAACCTATCAACATCACTGTAATATATCTGCAGTTTGCAGAATCCGGTTGATACTTATCTACATTTATAAGCGGTCAAAGACCCAATCACTAAAAAGTCTGTCATGTAGAGAGCTAATAAAATCAAATGAAATGGTCAAAGCTGTCATACTGATTGACATATAAGGTGTATTGATTGATTTCCAAAAGTCACGTAATACGCAGGAAAACATTCCACCTTAAAAGATGCTGGTACCTGCCGGTAGCCTCTGAGCTAATATTAGTGAAGATGAAGAGACAGAAAACATCTTTTCATTCATCGTTCACTCTTCTGACACTTTCTTTATCGCCACTGCTAAATGAATGTAGAGGAAACACTGTCACATGATTAAATGACCAGTGGCTTTATCGTGAGGGACGTTCACTCTCTCTACAACAGTGGTCATTGATTAATCTTAAGCTTGTGACAGAAAACACTCCTCGTCTTATTAAACTCAGTGGAAACTGCGGAGCAGCTTCCAGACTTCACCAGGCACTGTGACTCTTTAACATCCTGTCATGTCTGAATAAACCTGGAGGAACATTAACGTCTGAGACACATCACATGTCCTCTGTGTGGAGTCTGAGGTCTAACCAGCATCATGCTGCTGTTCCTGACTTCCTGCAGACCCCTCAGAGCAGGCAGAGTCTGGACTCAGCTGAGTACTCCACACTGGCTCCGCCCCCTGACCTCTGACCTCCAGCTGGGTCAGAGACCGCCGAGGGTCAGTCACAGCTTCAACATCAAACTCCCTGAAAGACACAGTGACACTGATCATCAGACAGGGTGAGAGTCACGTCTGATGTTCAGATTAAACGACACACACACACACACACACACACACACGATGTGTGTTATATATTATCTCACCTGTCAGTGGTTGTATTGGGGTAGAGGATGTAGCTGCTCCTGTCCTCACCTGCAGTCTGCAGCACCTGAACATCACACACAGTCAGGTATCTGTTCTGCACAGCTCCTACTTTTCCTCTGCACATTGCATCATGGGAGACTGAGTATTCTGAGCAAACATTTTACATCAGGATATAAAGAACTGTGTGGGAGATGCAGCTGTTTTACAGGCTCGTTACTTTGAAAAAAGCAGGTGTCCACAGGAAAACTAGAGAATTTGAAATGAGCTCATCAACTGAGGAGCAGAAAATCAACAACGCTCTGCAGGATCCAGGCGGACATGTTTCCTTATCAACAATCAGAGACCACTTCAGGACCAGAACCTCAAACAAGACACAAACCTCCTCAGCCATCCAACAGACATGCTCACCTCCTTTTCCTCTCCCTCCCCCAGCATACTCTCCAGACTCTGAGGGTGGAAGTCTTCGTCCTCCTCCTCGTCCCTCTGCTCTTCTTCTTCTTCCTTGGTGGGACTTGGGGAGAAGTTGGAGCAGATAGTCAGAGGGTTCAGCTGCTCCGTCCACCGACTCCGTACCTGACGAGGCTCAGTATCTGATTGAACGATCGACGAGGCTCCACCCTCACCCTGCTGAACACACGAAACACACCTGAACTTCATTGTCCCAAAAAATATGCACCGTCCATCTGAAGGAAGAAAATCAATCCACTACCTGGACGATTATCTGTGAATATATCAATATTATAATTGATAAACATCAGACTGACCAGTTTTCTGAACCACATAGGAAGTTTTCCATTGGTCTGAAGCAGCTGAGCCTCTGAAACACAGACAACATGATTCACACACAGACTGAGACAGTGATGGTTCAGTCACAGTGAGACACTGATCCATCAGCACAGAAACAGACAGCAGGAGAGATTACACCACACACAGAGAAACATCCTGATGATCCATATCCAGGCTGATCAGGAATATTTTATTGGATCATATCTCCAAAAATGAAAATGATCAAACTGCAGCAGTTAATACTGTATGAGTGTGTGTCTTCACTGTTTTTAATGGTGATACAAAGACAATTGTCCTGTTGCTGTGGGACATTAAAGTTTTACTCTAACTGATCCTCTGAGTTTCAAACACTTCCTGCTTCTAGCACTGCTCTAATTAACTAATTAACTTTAATTATGAGTGAGGCTGACAGGTTGGTATGAGGTAGAAGAGGCTCCACTCTGTCACACCACGACTGTGACATTTCTGTAGTTCCAACAGAGTGAGACATCTTCTCTCCAGCAGATCACTTCATGTCACATTCTCCAGTTAAACTTTTCATTCATTACAAATCAATAATTAAAGATGATCAACTTGAATCAGTGTCTGGACCAAGATGCCTGTGAAAGTATCTACAGCTGTTACTGTAAATCTAAGTATCAGATCAGACTGCATCAGGAGATAATCAATATTAAAAGACTCAGGAAGGGGTTCGTCATTTGACAGGAAAATAATCTCAAATTTTTCTGATAATCAGTTATCAGTTTCACTTAACTTTCAAGCAACAACAGTGCAACTGTGATAAATGTTTGCTGCTTTTCTCTGTCACTTCATTGTAAAATGAATATTTTGGGGGTTTTGGCCAAACATCTGAATTTGATAAACTAAAGAAAACAATCATCAGACTGATTGATAATGAAAACAGTCCTTGGTTAGATTAGCAGCACTAATCCCTCAATGTTTTTCTTAATCCAGTGTGAACAGGAACAACACAACCTAACGTCATCATCCAGGTGTTCATGTGGTTTCAACCTAGAGCCACACCCCTTCCCCTCCTCCCTCCCCCTCCTCACCGTGAGCAGACTGCAGTCTGGCTGGAGTACCGAGGCCCGCCTCTCCCTCCTCCTCCTCCTCCTCCTCCTCCATCTGAGAGGAGGGAACAGTGATGAAGGTCTCCCTCCTGAAAAAACAAGGACCAGGTTCGGTCTGACATAAACACAAACCTGACTTCATTTTAACCAGATCAACTGATCCTGTTAACTCCTCACACACCTGATGTCCAGCTGTTTGCGGCTGCAGGTTTCAGGTGCACCTTTCAGTCTGAGACCCCGCCTCTTCCTCATAGTGGCTGTCATCTGAGAGTCTAGCATCCACACTAACACGCAACTACACACGCACACACACACACACAACAATATACATAGTTAAAAACATTAAGAATCATCAAAGAGTTTAAAAGTGATCTACATTAGGTGTTTCTTTAACACTGAGACACCTGAGTTCACCTGTCTCCTGACATCACAGCAGTTTACCTGTCTCCTGAGGCAGTGATGAGGTGTCTGCAGTCCTGGCTGAACCTCATACAGGTGACGATCTCTGAGGAAACAGACAAGCAGGCAGATGAACAGCCATTAAACACCTGAAGAAGAGATGTCAAATTTTTTACCTGACATTAACATCATCTTTTTTTTAATGTAAAAATAGATGCTAGATGTAAAAATAAACCGAGCTCCAGGCACTCAGTAACACAAAGCTGCATAAAGCTCCCCCTACAGAACACATTCTTCAAGGTGAGCTGGATTTACTCACCTGAATGTCCAAAGAGGGTGGCGACACACTCTCCTGACTCGTAATCGAAGATGCTGATGTTTTTATCAGAGCAGCTAGTGGCAAAGAAACTCCCAGACACATCCATCTGAACCTGAACACAATGCAAATATTAGCCAAACACATCACTTCACCACAGATACATTTGATAAACAATTACAGTGACAACTTCCTGATAAGTGATGTCACATGACAGAGAGCCTCTGCACCTGCATTTACATACGTCTCAGGTGATCCAATCATAGCTGCGCTGCTCTGAGTTTGTCAGTTCACACCTGAAGTTAGAGTCTCCGGTGACCACCTCCCTGCTTCACGTATATGCTAATAAACAGCTATGTGTGTGTGTGTGTCTGTGAGAGTGAGTGAGTGAGTTAGTATGAGAGAGAGAGAGAGAGATTCACTCTATCATAAGGTTTTAGTCATTACCAGGTCATAATAAAACTGTGCTGAGACTAATTGGACTGTGGACGTCAGGTAAGAAGCTGGACGATATGTAAAAAAAAATCATGTAACCATTATTTTGAAAGATGTAGTGATATGAGTCATGACTTTAGTAGGAGTGATTTGTTAATTTCACTTTCACTGAAAAAAAAATGTAAATGTAAAAATGATTATGTGAAATTTGCTGTAGTCTGTACTAAACAAACATGTTCCCTCACATCAGGAAAATATGATTTGTGGTCCAGTCTCTGTAGCACCTCAATGCTTCATTTAAAAAATGGTTCAAAGTTCTTTATTGTCCCTTACAGAGAAACTGATTTACAGCAAGGCTATACACAAACACACACACATAAAGACACACAGCACCAACACTATTGACATCAACAGACAGTATGGCATGATGGCCAGAGTAAGACTTCATTCATCAAGGTCAAAGTGCAAAAGTCACATACGTAGTTTGTGCAAATAAGGGATCTCTTGACAATAAAATACTATCTGCCAGCAGCGGGAACAAAGGAAAACTTGTATCTCTTGGTTCTCATAACGAGAACCCCTTAACTGACAACCAGCAAGTAAAAGTTCAAACTCTGTCCAAAGAGGGTGATCTTGGCTCTACAGAAGGGAGGCAGCTTTTCTTACCTGCCTGTTATAGAGGTCTGTAAGCTGGACTTTACTCCTCCCTGAAATTTTTATGGCCACTTTGATGAGGCTTCCAGCCTGTGTTTGTTGACCAGAGTTAGATTACCATACCAAGCAACAATGTAGAACTGATTCAATAAAACTTCCACAAAAGAGAGTCATCATCAGAGGAGACATTAAAAACATCTTCCTCAGGAAAAAAGTCTCTGTTGGACCTTTTTTTTTGCTGTGGAATAAATATGAGGTTCAAAATACAATTTGTTGTCAAGTACAAAATCCAGATATTCCACCAGCTCAATGTCAGCACCTTTGATGCTGGCTAGTACAGGACTACAGGGAGCCTTTGTAAAGCTGATAATCATGTCTTTAGTTTTAGACACATTTAAAAGAGAAAGGACTCATCACACCAAGATACAAAATTGTGACACATTTTACCTGCAGCTGCTGTGATTTGGATGTTGAAATAGACCGGCCGGAAAGTTCCTAGGCTCTGATGCTTTACCACCGAAAGGTACAAGTCTTTAAAACCACAATTATCCCCATTACTACTTAAAACATTTAACTGGATCTTACAGAAAGGAGTCCCACCCTCTTGAAGGGCAGAACTTTGTGGCACATTATAAACTTTTCAACGAAATTTAATAATTTTCGAGGTTTTATGAGGCCAGCCTGTGGTTTACCAAGACTTTTAAATTACTGGTATCAGGGATGGATGGGATCCTGTAGATAGATTAAATTCCTCACCTTGAGCAGAGCTCCTTCATCACTGGAGGAGCCTTTCAAACACTTCTTCAGCTTCCCAGTTTCCACGTTGTAAACCCTGAACACACAGAGACACATGCACATCTGCTCCAGTTCATTCAGTGCAGAAACTGTGTTTTCTACCATCAGTCTGGAGACATCAGACGCAGGTGTTTATTGTTTCTTTACCTGACGTTTCGGTCCTGACAGGCGATGGCGACGTGTGTCCTTGAGGAGTCCAGGTCCATGTCGTACAGCGTTGTCTTCTCTACCAAGTGGTGGCTCCTGGAGAATGACAGACCCTCCTCTGTCTGGACCATGACAGAGATGACCACACCGCGATCATGACCCAGGGAATCATGGGATTGTGTTTTTTATTAGGTTTAAAGCTCAAACAGATCTGCACAGATGTTTCTTTAGATATTAGTGTGTGTTCTGACCTGCTCAGCTGTCTGGAAGTAGATGCTCTTGTCAGCTCCACAGCTCACCATTCGAACCTCTGGACTCTCACCTGAAACACATGTAACAGGTAAAGAGTGGCAGGAAGCTTATCTATTATTTAACTATCCGCCTCCTCTGTCAACAACATGTGGTTTACATGAAATGTTTTAATGAGGGTCGATACAATGTTTTGGATCAGGTACCCTGTAACATCTGAGAGGGTGTGGCCGATAACCTTCATATAATTTCAAACAGCTTGAATGAGTGTGATCTGTTACTGAAGCATCTTCAGCAAGACCGACATGAACCCCTACTGTATTGACCTGTGAACATTGTTACCTGCGAACTTGACAGCAGTGATGGAGGCCGAGTGGTCGTTCAGAGTCTGTTCCAGACTGTAGTTCTTCTCCAGGTTGAAGATGTGGATTAGTCGATCCCTACTGGCCGACGCCAACAGCTTCACACCTGAAACAACAACATCATCATTATTCAGGTGTCAGATCTGCAGCTAGAGACACAATAATCCACCAAAACAAAGGAGAAAACAGCTGGAGGGAAGCTGTAAGAAAGATTTAAATAAGATCAGTACGAGCAGGAACACAGGAACTAAACAGAACAGGCTTGGATCAGCTCTTCCTCAGGCTGCATCTTTTTGTGTCTTCAGACTGAAGACAAATTTTGGTCCTGACAGGAGATGGTGTCATGTAATCTCCATCCAGACTATCACAGCTGAAAGCCCCTATCACATGGCCATTCACAAAACTGGGCATGTGCATGTAAACAGGAAGCAGATTGTCTACTCTGCAGTTGGTTAGTTATAGTAAATACTCTGAACAAGGAACAGCAAAGCAGTTGTAGCATTAAAATAGAGAATGTAAGTGAACAACAGCTGCTAGCAAAGACAACAAGGTCAGTAACACAATTCATTACCATGTGGTATTCACCACTGGTAGTCCAGGCTGATGAGAGCCAATCAGGAGATACCGTGGATGTTCAAAATAAAACACAAAGTTTTCAGACTAAAACTAGTCCAGCAGAGTTTCTCAAAGCCTACGTTTTAGGGAAGAATCTGGAGTCATGTGAACGTAGAGGAAGAGATGAGTTTTAAAGTGAAATGTAGTAGTGTGGAACGTAGCCTCAGTCTGAAGACAAATACACAACACATCACATAACTAACATCACTTTCCAGCCTCTGCCTGTGAACTTACAACCTTCTGACCCTGTGATCCACCTCCTTATCCGACAGAGAAAAAGATGATTTACATAAATGTCAGTTTTTACCTTGAAAGGTTAAATGACTGTTGCTGCTTCAGTCATATTCTGAGAATGTTAATGTTAATCAGTTTAGTCAGTCTGTTCCAAATGTAAATAATAGTTATGTGACTGCTGTCTGATTTATGAGCAACAGATATAGGTCTGAGAGCTCGGTCCTGAGACCTGCCTGAAGAAATCAGGTTTTATTCAGTTTCTAATCCACCTTCTAGAACCTCTTTTATCTGACTGGAACTGGTCTTAACCTTAATATTATGATTATGTTGTTGTTTACATTCAACCACGAGCAGAGCCTGCAGTCGCGTGTGATGTCATTCACGAGACTGTTGCGAGAGTACAGACCCAGCACCCTGATGCATTCATTGTAATATCGGCGGATTTCAACCATGTGACTCTCACCTCTCACCTGACTGGCTTCATGTTGACTGTCCCACAAAGGGAAATAAGACACTTGATCTGTTGAATGCAAATGTCAAGGAGGCCTACACTGCTTCAGCTCTACCACCACTTGACAAATCAGATCATAATCTGATTTTTCTCCATTCCTGTTCACCCTGTATACAGCGGACTTTAAATAAAGTTCTGAGTCCTGCCACATCCAGAAATACTCGGATGACACAGCTATTGTGTCGCGTATCAGGAACGGGCAGGAAGAGGAGTACAGGGATCTAACGACGGACTTCAGGGAACGGAGTGACAAGAACTGCCTCCTTCTGAACACCTCCAAGACCAAGGAGATGGTCATGGACTTTCGGAGGTCTAGGCCCACCCTTCAGCCAGCCAACATTTGAGGGAAAGACATTAAGGTGGTGCACACTTATAAATACCTAGGTGTGCACCTGGACAGTAAACTGGACTGGTCCCTGAACACAGATGCCCTCTACCTGAAGGGGCGGAGCCAGCTCTTTTTCCGCAGGATGCTCAGGGCCCTTGACGTCTGCAGTGAAATGCTGCACATGTTTTATCAGTCAGTGGTGGCCAGTGTACTCTTTTATGCTGCAGTCTCCTGGGGCAGCAGCATGTCCGACATGAACACAAAGAGACTGGACAAGCTGGTAAAAAAGGCTGGGTCTGTGCTTGGGAGGAGTCTGGACTCACTCAGGATTGTTGTGGAGAGATACATGCAATGTAAGATGGACGCCATCTTGGACAATACCAACCTTCCCCCCTAAAACATTCTGGCAGGACAGAGAAGCAGCTACAGCTGCAGCAAACGTCTCATCTCACTGCGCTGCAGAACAGAGAGGTTCAGGAGATCCTTTGTTCCCACTGCCACCAGGCTATACAACTCCTCAGTCAAAGGAAGTGGACTAATCTAATTATCATTGTTTATTTATTAACTGTTTTTATTATTATTATCAACAATGACCTAATGGACACATGAATTTCCCCTAGGAGATAAATTAAGTGTCTATCTATCTATCTATCTAGCTATCTATCTATCTATCTAGCTATCTATCTATCTATCTAGCTATCTATCTATCTATCTAGCTATCTATCTATCTATCTATCTATCTATCTATCTATGTTGAGAGGAGCTGTAACTGGATGACCTTTGACCTGAGATCTTACCTGTGGATGTGGGTGAGAACTCCAGACACAACACCTCAGAGTCATGCGCCTCTATCTTCACCAACTCATCCAGAAACTCCAGACCAAAGATCCTGAACAAGAGCAACATGTCAGCACACCTCATTACATGTATATGTATGTATGTGTGTGTGTGTGTGTGTGTGTGTCACACCGCAGGTTTCCGCAGCGGTCTCCAGCTGCCAGGTGTTGTCCATCAGGGCTGATACCTAGCACTCTGATCCCAGCCTTCCCATCAGCCCCTGCTGCCTCCCCCCTCTCCCCCTCTGCCAGCAGGTGCTGTGTGTTCTCCCCAACATACAAAATCTTCAGCAGGTCCTGGAAGATAAAACAGACCTTCAGTAACCAGCTGTATGTGTATGTGTATGTGTATGTATGTGTGTGTGTGTGTGTGTGTGTGTGTGTGTGTGTGTGTGTGGTCTCACGTTGCTGTAGAGGTTCCTGTGTATGGTGGGGGGGTCAGTGTGCCACAGTCTGATGGTGTTATCAGACGAGCAGGTGAGGAAGGAGGATGGAGGCAGACAGGCCTGAGACACGTCTGACAGCTCTGGATACACCTGAAAAACCAGGACTGGTTCTTAGGCCAGACCAGAGACTCAGGAAATCCAGCATGAACAAAACCTGGTGAACACTGAGAATTGTTACTTCAGACTGGTCTGAGATCCAGGATCAGGATTCTACTGTGAAATCTAGTATTAAATAGTTTTGTTAGTATCTGAAATATTCCTGGTAGTACTGAGGGTTCTTCTGGTATAATAATAATGGAAAAAAGGTTTGCTATTACTGAAGTACAGTATATCTGTTACTGCTGGAAGTGTCTCTACCCATGTTGGAGGCATTTCTGTAGTATTGGAAGTATTCCTGGTGGTGCTTGAACTACTGCTGGCAGTGTTGGAGGTATTTCTGATATTCTTCTGGGAGTACAGGAAGTTCTTCTTGTATTACTGGAGGTATTTCTGTATGATGTCTTAGAGTATACGTTGCATTTCTGGTAGCAGGTACTTATACTTGTTGTGGAGGTATTCTCGCTATTACCGAAGTGTTCCTAATAGTCTTTCGAGTACTCCTGACGGTAGTGTTTCTGTGACTGACCTCTGCGCTCCACACACAGCTGCTGTGGTACAGGGCCGAGTACAGTTTCCCCACGTTCCTCACGTCTTTAACATCCCACACATACAGACTGTGGTCGTTGTACACGCAGGTCAGGTGTTTGGCAGTGGGGTCAAAGGTCAGAGCCAGTGTGTCAGGGTACTGAGCACCTGGATTGGCAGGTAACAGGCTGTAAACAAACAGGGGGTCAGAGGAGTGGTCTGTGGTTCCAGTATCTGTTAGCAGTATATGTGTGCAGTATCTGTGAAGTATCTGTGTTCAGTATGTATTAGCAGTATCTGTTAGCGGTATCTGTGTTCAGTACCCGTGCTGTGCACTCTGAGTGAGGTCGACGCCCAGCCGGTGAGGTCGGTGCAGGGTGGTGATGTACTGCAGGTTGGATGGACTGAACACTCTGATGAGACCGTCAGCACAACCACAGAAGATAAAGTCCTCACTCACGGCCAGACAACTGGCCGACGATGTCTGTCAACAACAACAAAGGCACAATTATTTGATTCACTATTTTAACATCAAGTTACATTAAATAACCATGACCATAACCATTTCATAACAAACATGGTGTTTTTCAGCACACCCTGTGATTTATAGGGTTTTATTTAATCATACAGGTGCATTTGTAAATAGTACAGGTGTTTTTTAAAATGTACAGCTGCAGTTGCGTCTCATTTAGTACTTGTGGGCTTATGAATATATAAATTGGCCCCACCTCTATCTCCACCCACCCTTCAGCCACACGCCTGCAGCTCCTACTGTGTTCATCAAACATGCAAACCTCTGCTTGTTTTCTGTTTTGCTATTTACTGTATGCAACACAGTGGCAAGAGTTAATATTGAGGCAGTCATGATCAAACCAGAAACCAACGCCTGGACTTCAGGAAGCCTATAAGTCAATGTATAACAGTCATAATGTATTTGAATCTCTGTACAACATTAGAAATGTAGCAGAAATGGAAAACACAACCACCACATAGTCAAACAGCTAATATGTTGTTTATTTATTTATTTTTTAATTTCTTCACGTTTATTTTATTTTATTTGTCCAGGTGTTTTGTTTATATTTTATTTTTTATTGTATAGGTGTTCCCTCACTGACCTTGAGGTTGACCCAGGCCTCCAACTGTCGGCTGCTGTTGAAAAGACACAGCAGGCCAGAGCTGGTGATGCAATAGGTGCTTGACGCCATGAGGCCACGGCCACATGTCACCCCACTGAACACGCTGTTTTTATGGTCGCCTAGCAACCCTGACCGACCAATCAGAGGCACCGTACTGTTCACCTGGTTATGGGGAGAAAATAGAAATGTAAAAGAAGGTCGTTACTTCAGACTACAGGTAAAGGCTGAGCTTTGAATGGCTGATCAGAGGTCAGGGCAGTACCCGTCGTTCTTTGGATGCGTCCAGGTACCAGAACTTGACGTGTCTGTTTCCTGCGGTGACAAAGTAGCTGTTGTCCTGAGAGAAGGAGACAGCGAAAACTCTGCTGGACACCTTGTTGGAAGCGATGATCGAACCTTTCTGCTCACACACACAAACACAGGAAGACAAAAAATCACATTAATGTTGGAACTGTTACCGCAAAGACTCTGTACCAGTATGTTTTCTAAAGTATTAAGTAATGCATTCATGATAGAAATTATCTATAATCAATCCCTGTTTTCTGACCCAGTCTCCATTATCAGGCTCAGTCATTGATATAACAGTGATCAAAAACATGTAAAGAAAAATTGTTTAACTTATGGCTGCAAATAATTATTATAATTATAATAATAATTATTATTATAAGATATAAATAAGCTTATTTATGCAGCTTCATTTTCCAGTAATCAATTAAACAATCAATCAGTTGTGTCTGCTCTAAAGCTTTACCAGATGACAAGTCCAGCGTTCTTTATTTAAACCCACTAACACTTTCTTCAGATCAAAAGGCTTTTATTGTGAAACATGTGCAGAAAATGTTGTTCTCTTACTGTAGTGAATGAACTGTGTCACACCTGGAGACACGTGCATGTGGCTGTTTTACATGCTACCTGCCCACAGGACCAACAGCTGTTTCAACTGTCAATGACTCAGCTGTCAATGTGTGACGAAGCCTCTGGTGTGTCTGTTTTGTGTTAGTGTGTGTCCTCACCCTCCAGTCCCACACACTGACAGTCATGTCATGTTGGTATCCCACGGAGACGATGTAACAGCTGTTGGTGGAGAACGCCACACAGGAAACTCCGTATTTATGAGAACTAGAAACATCCCAGCCAAGCGAGATGAAGCACAAAGTCCGCGACCCATCCCCGAGTAAAAGGGCCGGGGCTGTCCCTTCCCGAAAGAGGGTTTGTTTAAACACATACTGCTGAAAACAACCACACACACATCACACAGAACACTACACCTACAGCAACACGACAAACACGGGAGATGCTCGGTTCGAGACACACAACACACAAACAACACACACACACACACACACAACACACACGCAGTTGCGAGTCTCGAGAATCTGTTTGATTAGATCTTTTATTAATGTGAAAGATGATGTGTACATTACTCTGAATGACCCAGTAGGAAACAGCCAGTTTATTTTATAGCGAGGAACAAACGCATCATTTATGTTAGTCATTTAAAGGTTCTGTAAGCAATCGTTTCTGCCACTAGGTGTTGCACTATGCCACCAGCATCTCAGACCAAAATAAAGGCTTCATCAGCTACACATCCAGACCAGCATTGGCTCAGATGGACCATAAAAACCAGAGAAACTCAGATTAGGTCACACAAGGAGGGGGTGTGGCTTCATTCTCTGCTGAGGATGCCATTACTCTATTTTTAGATACAGAATAGTTGTTTGCTGCTGAATTATTGTTTAAAACCTCCTTTACAGAATGTTAAAATTCTCTATTTGGATTATATGTCTTGGTTTGTACCAGCCTCCGTGTGGTGAAAATACAGTGTGAATAACATGCTCCTCTTGTATTTCAAAAGAAAGATTTATGGGTGTCGGTGTCTTTATTTTAATTTAAATGATATTTAAAAGGAGAAAAAACATGCAGTAAAATAGTGAAAGTTTTTCTTATGAGACTTATCTATTAGCTTTATTTTAATAGCACTAGATTTAAAAACAAATACGTTGCAGATATTTATATATATTTATTGTTACAGACTCATGTTCCAAGAACAGCAGTAAAACAAACTCTCAGCCTAGTTCAGCCTGAAAACTAATCTGATGAGGACCAGGTGAGTCAGTTTCCATGGTAACTGATCCTCCAGACTTATTTTAACCCCCTTTATGACAAAGAATTTGTTGAAAATAAAGCTGGTTTATGCAAACAGGCCTGGTTTCAGCCTGGATTCACATTGACACAGTAACAGACACAGGTGTGTGTTGCTGCTCTTACCTCACCAGTGACCAGGTATTTTCCATCATGGGAGAAAGCCAGAGCACTGAAGGGTTTTCTGAAACAAAAACATCAACAGGATCCATTAGATGATGTGATATGTGCAGCTGTAGTTTGTAATCATTACCGTCAGTAGAAAGCTACACAACAGTCACCATCTGATATGACTGCACTTCTGTATGTAGCGATTACACTGGGGAGGCCGTTCTCAGTCTGAAGAGAAGCTACTGCTCTGATGAGCTCAACATAAAGGCTGATCATCTTAAGTTAAAATTCTCCTTTCTTGAAGCAGCTGCAATGTTTATTTTTCCAAAACCACTTTAAGAAACAACAGTGAACCCGCAGCTCCATCAGAGTTTTATAGAGACATGAATAATTAAGACAATAACAAATCTCACTCCATCACCCATATGTTCATATGTTCTTTTCTCTCTCTCTACCCTGGTTTAGAGGAGGGGGAGGTGACGAGACAGAGGACCAACAGTTTGACTCATCATTGGGTAATAAGGGTAATAATAATAATAATGTCATTATTATCATTACTATTATTGTTATTATAACTGAATACTGAAACAATAATGATGATGATTGACCATTTTAAATGTCAGCGTAGTTGATCACACAGCTGTTGTCATTAACTTGGTTTATTCTGATTTCATTAGACAATGTTGTGATTATAAAATCCTGATTTTCTCAGCATCAGCAGTTTGTGGATCACTGCTGGTTTAACATGTTGGTTCAGTGTCTGACAACCAGGTTTGGTCCAATGCTTAATAATATTTCCCGCCATGTGCGATATTTTTCATAATATGGAAAAAAAACAAAAATTTCTGCGAGTCTGGTCCTCATTTCACTGCTTTGTTTACTGTGACAAACAAAACTCTGAACTGCTGTTTAGTGGCAGCATCACTTATACCTGAAACCTAAAATACAAACCCTGCAACAAAAAAGAAACTGGCTTCACTGTATCAAGATATCATATTTTGGATATCGCCCAAGAACAACTGTATCTTGAATTGAGCTGCGTTACAACACAGTGAGGTGACGACAGAGGAAGAGGAGACTAACCACGCATGATTAAAATCTTTCCTGAGAAAGGGGAGCAGAGATTCCTGGTAAACACTCCCACTGTGATCCTCACACAACTGTGATCCTCTTGTCTGGATGACGTGCTCCTCACAGACTGCAGCTGAAAACTGAACAGGTAAAGGTGAAACAGACAGGTCTACCTGGACGAGTTGATGATGTGGCTCTGTTTGTTCCTCTTCGGGTGAAGCAGCACAATGACACACCTGAGGCACAAGATAAATCACATCAGCAGGGTTCAACCCTATGAAAAACGCTTCATGTTTGTACTAGAACTGACACAGAAACACCAATAGCACTGTCAGGTTAGAAAAAAAGTGTCTCCCACAGTGACGCATGTTTCTGACCACTTCTTCTCCTATTCTTCTATGGTTAAGAGATAAAGCCTTGGTTTAGTCAACACACCCAGCAGTGACTCTGAACACTGTCACTCTGTTCTTTGGGGGCATCCAATACAGGTGAGTCAGGGGAGGCGGGGCTTACCCTGCAGGGTAGGCGATGAGCCCAGAGTTGGGGTCACAGGTCAAACCACTGCTGCTGGCCGTGGTGATACCCAGAACTTTTTCCAAGCTCACCTGAAATCTCACACAAACACACACAAATTTTATTCAAAAATCTCATAATTTAACAAATGTCTCACTCTGCAGAACTAACAGAACAAAATTTGACAGGTTTATTGAAATTATTAGAAAATTCTATTCAGTTGGGTTTAAATCGAAACAGAATTTGCTCATTGACTCTTTAAACACCTTGAGTCTTCTTTGGAGATCTGGAACCATATTAGATTCTTTCCAATTCCCTCATTTCATTCATTTGTGCCTATATGAATAAACAGTACTTTATGACTCTGTGTGTTTGTCCCCCTTGTCCTGCTGCAGGATGAATCTGGACAGACACCTCCTGATGATGAAGACACAGTTCCACAGGTGGTCACACCGTGTGACGTCACACATCTGACCAATCTGTAGTCTTTTTTATCACCCCTTCACTCTTGTTTGTTTGTCTTTTACTCTAAAACACTGTGACTTCTGATATAAAATGTGTAATTTAAGATATTTTTATTGCCAGTAGTGTTTTGTTGTTACTCCGGTGGCCTGCTGCTTTTTTTGGTGTGAGTCTAAACATTAGCCTGTTGCTATAAAAACTTTTTAATCGTTGATTAAAAGTTGAAACAGTCGGAGTGGGCTGTTGGGTTTTAGTAGTGTGTTTAATCTCATCAGTTAACATATCAGCTCAGTTTGTTCTGACTCTTTAAAAGTTGCCTTCACTAAGCAGCAGCGGGGCTAACGGACTGTAATGCTAAAAGTTAGCTCTGTTAGTTAGCTCTGCTAGCATGGGATCATACCCGGCTGCTGGAGGTCTTCTTCTGCTGGCTCTGCCGGCTCTTCCTCCCCGCTAGTTGTTTCCTCTTCGCGGCGTTGACTGAGCCGCAGTCCGCTCCCTCTGCCATGACGCCGCCTCACTTCACCTCTAATGAAGTTCTCCACAAAGACAAACCGGCACGCTTACAAACCAAGCCGGGAACACCCGGGATGATAACCGCTTAAACACCGCGTTGAAGGTCAGTAAAAGCCACCATAAGAACCAGAGGCGGCTCAGTTTATTAATACTCTCCGCTGGTTTCAATGATGGAGGACTAGCTTAGCTTAATGCTAACTGACTTGAAGAAACTTGATACCTTTCTCTGCGGCGCGACTCTGGTTCAAACTAAACCACGCCCACTTCCCCAACAACAAACAATATGCAACAAAGGCCACGCCCCCAACCCCAAAACAACTATTCAACCACTGAAATCCCGCCCACTGCCTGCCAACCAACCAATCAACATAATTATTTTGGCAACCCCCAAACCGTTCGATTCTAAATAAATAGCCTAATTTAAAATGTGACACAGAATACACAAACTCAAAATTATTTTCTATCACTGTCAGACTGTGTGGTAGTGCTAGCTCTCTCTCTGTTGTCAGTACATTTTTTATTCATTGTAACATTTTGGCATTATACAAAAATAAAGAAAAACAAGACTTGTATTTTATTACATACAGAAAAAAAAGAAAGATACATAAAAGAGAAATAAATAAATGTCAACAATTCATAACATTTGTTTCAACAATAATTTAGACAAAAAAAAACAACCAGAGCAGACTGTTGATAAAAAACAAATTAAAACATTATAATTATTACATACTTCTTGTTAAGAGAATCAAGTTTTAAAATAAAGTTTGAGTTCCCTCAAGAAAACAGAAAATAAAGATTTTGTTTTGTTTTAAATTTGTGCTAACTGTGAAAACCAAAACCAAATCGCAGTTTATGTAAAAACAGGCTGTAAACAGCCTGTTCTGATTTTATATACAGGCTATGATTCTGGCCTACTCTACAGAGATATGCGAGGAGACAGCTCCATCTACAGGCCACAGAGACACAGCACAGCTGAGTGTGCTGCTGTGGATCACTGAACTAGTGCTGAGCACATCATCACTTCTTTAAATAATGAATATAGCACCACAGAAAACAAATGAGAAAAAATAGTAAGTAGGTAAAAATAAAAATATCAGACAGGATGTAGGTCTGGTCGTTGTGATGTAGGCCGACCTGAGTGGCCGTTTAGTAGGAGGCAGACACGGAGAATTTTGTCCAGGGATACCAAAGTGATTTATTTACAGTGCAGTCCATGTTCACACTTTACAAAAAAATCAAAAAAATAATTAATCTAGGCTTAACTGATTAAAGTTAACTCATAGTAACTCAACTTAAACAAACATAATGTGTACACAGCTACACTGATGTGTCATTCCCCCTCGACGACAAAAGCAACTGCTTTATATAGGCCCTTCCATCCAGACCTAATCTGGACCATACCATCGCTGCAGGTATACATTTTACTTTATTGACACAGGAATTAACTACAGTTATTCTACTATAACCACCTGATAAGGGGAAAACCCTTTCCTATAGTTTATCTACTAATAAACATGCCATATACATAAATAATTCAAAATCACAGTAAATAAACACAACCTAAATTACAATCACCCCTCCCCACATGAACTGACCTGGTGACATCACCAATGATGTCACTAAGGGTATAAATATGGGACATCATTGGCTGCTTCCTCCCTTTGTCTGTAGCACATGGTAAGTATGATGAGTAACAGAATGTTTGAATAATGAAAATAGAACTTAATCAATAAATGACTAAACTTAATACTTGTAGATGTTTTAATTTAACCAAAAAATGTTGTTAAATGAACTGTAACTAAACATAATACAAACTACAAACAAACCCGGGATAGAATGTGTCTGCAAATGAAAAGTTACTGAACATAAGGTTAAATGGTGAACAAGCATGAGTAAATCTGTAAACTATGATGTTATGATGGATAAAAGTAGGGACAAGTGGTGTAATTCTTACCCACTTTGTCACAGTCGTGGACATGGAACACACTGTATAGCAAATAACAGATGAGGATTAAATGTATTGTGCTTTCTCTAATAATAGTTTTGTAACAAAAAGAAAATCCTAAAATCTTGTTTAATTTCTCAATAAAGACTTTAAATATAGCTGCTGTAACAAATACAGAAAATATAGTATTTATTGCCTTATTGAATCTGTAATTAATTTACTTTTTTCTCTTTAGTAGAATATTAGGTGTTTATTAAAAAAACTGAGGTGGAAGAAGTGTTTTTCAGCCCTGAGTGCTGTCTGCAGGTTTTCCCTCCATCCCACATACAGACATCTACTCAGAAGGTGGGACATTGTAGGCTCCAGTATGACGTATGTTACGGTTATCAGGATGTAAATTAAGTTCGCTTCCACCTCCCATTATTATTTATTAATTAATATTCTTTATTACATAACATACATTTAATCATTTATCAGACTCTTTTATCCAAAAAGAGACGTACAGTGAGGGACATCACTAAAGCTTCAGAGCAGTAGGAGACCTTTACTAAATACTACATCTATTTACTAAGAGATGGAGATCAGGTAAAGAAGTGCAGGTAGAGTTCACAGTAAGAGCTAGTTATACATGTTAGGGTATTAGAGGTGTTAGGAGAGGAGAAACTCTCTGAAGAGAGGAGTCTTCAACAGATTCTTGAAGATAGAAATATAATATGATAATAATAAGCTTTATTTATATAGCACCTTTCAAAACACAGTAGTTGTGTCAGGGCCAAAAGCAATTACCTCAGTTTTGTCAATGTTCAGTTGCAGGAAGTTCTAGGCCATTCCACATTTAAGATCATGGATGCAGTCATTGAGAACATTAACCTGATGAGCTTCATTGGGGTTAAAAGAGAGGTAAAACTGGGTGTCATCCGTGGTAAGCCCCAGGGGTAAGATGTATAGGGAGAATAGAAGCCCACAGGTCATCTTAATAATGATTGTGACCTGCCAATGACCACTCAAAAAAATCTACCATGTATATAAGTAAGAGTAAAACCATTTTAAAACTGAACCAGAGATGCCAACCCAGTGTTGGAGACATTCAAGTGAAATAGAATGATCAACAGTGTTGAACGCAGCACTTAAATCTACATGAACTAAAATTGAAGATTTCCCAGCATCAGCAGCAACCAGAAAGTCAATCATCACTTTAAGAAGTGCAGTCTCTGTTCCGTGGTGTGTCCTAAAACCTGACTGAAATGTCTCGAAGAGTCCATTCCTGTTTAAAAAAGCAATCAGTTGTTCTGCAACAACTTTTTCTAAAACTTTGGAGAGAAAGCGAAGTTTGGAGATTGGTCTAAAATTATCTGGGGAGTTAGGATCCAAGGAGGGTTTTTTCAGAAGTAGTTGAACAATAGCATTTTTTTCAGCAGGAACAGAACCCATTTGTAGCGAGGACCCAAAGCAAGCAGTGGTGTTCATTCTGATGCTGGAGACTTTGTCGACGAAGAAAGTTAAGAATTCTTCGCATTTCTCAGGACAGGAGTCCATGTTGTTGCTTATAGGGGCCTCGGTGACACGGTACATTGAACAAAGTCCTTGAGTTGTGTTTATTTTTTTCAGTAAGGTCAGAGATAAATCTTGCTCTAGCGTTTTTAACTTCAATTTTCATTTTTTCAAATTTCTCATAGAGTCTTTTAGAATGTCAAGGTGCACTGTCAATTTAGAGACCTTCCACTTCCACTCCGCCCTACACAGTCCCTCTTGAGAGCACGTATGCTGTCTATTATCCAAGGCAGGGAGACTTTAGAGGGTTTTTCTGCTTGAAAGGTGCAATTTTGTCAAAGAATTGGGTGCAAGTACTATTAAAAAGACCCTGATCTTGACACCGTGAGTTGAGGAAGACAGGAAAGCGTCATTGAATTTGGCTGCAGAGGAGGTATTAAAAATGCGAGAGCATACAGGGTTTGGCTTGTTGTTAGGGAAATTATTTTAGAGCATAGATGTGAACATTATGCATTTGTGGTCAGAGACAGTAACATCTTTGCATAGTACATTGTCTACTGAGATGCCATGTGAGAGGACCAGAACAAGGGTGTGGCCCTTGTTGTGTGTGGGCCCTGTTACAATCCAACTTAAGTTAAAAGGCTTTAAAATCTCCCATTATTAAAACTCTGTCATTATTTGGCATTACAGTAGAGAGGAGTTCAGAGAATTGTTCTAGAAAGTCAGACACAGATTTAGGGGGTCTGTTTCTATTAAGATACACAAAGTCTTAAGGTTCCCACTAATAGTAAAACACAGTGACTCAAAAGAAGTAAAATCACCCAAGGAGACAAGGAGCAATTAAAATTGTTGTTGTAAAGAACTGAGAGTCCACCCTCTCTACCAGATAACCTAGGGCTGTTAAAAAAGGAGAAGTTGGGGGGGGGGGGGGGGGGGGGGGTGATTCTCTCAGTGGCCAGGTTTAGCCAGGTTTCTGATATCATAAAAAAAGTGAATTTTGTTGGTGATGATAAAAATCCTGGCAAATTAAAGATTTGTTGGAGAGGGACCTTACATTAAGGAGACCAAAGTTAATGGAAAAGCCAGAAATCAGATTTGTAATAGGCCTTGGTTGAATTTGGAGATGGTACAGTAATGATATTATTTGGGTTTCTGGGGTACTTCTGTTTATGTGGTCTCGACATAAACTGTGGTCTCTGAGTAATGATTGGAATTATGGGCTTTCAGGGTGCCTGGACACAAGAGGGAGCCATTGAGTCTGTGCCTGGTTGAGGTGATGGCAGCGAGGTGGGGAAAGTGTCGGCTTGCCATTGGAGACCGGAAGTGACCAGTGTGGAGCACACCTGGCTGATTGGACATGTGGCTTGGGATTGTCAGACTGTAGGAGTATTAGAAACTGTGCAAAATATGTCGTGTGTTAACAAATGTGTACCCAGTCTGCTTGGGTGTACACCAAGCTTTAGGTAAAAGGACGGTCTGTTCCAAAAGAGGTTAAAATTGTCAATAGAAACTGCGCTATGCACTGTACATGCAGACTGGAGCCATGTGTTAAAAGATGCTTGACGCAATCGGTAAGCGAGTGAAGGAGCCTGCAAAAGTTTGGCTCATGGTGACAGGGCAAATGAAGGTGAACAAGCAGAGGGGATGGTGGATGGTAAAATTCCGTTTGAGCAGTGAAGTATGGGGCGGGAGGATCGCCCAAGTGTGCTCGGTGGGGAGACCGGAGGTAATGGAGATCCAGTGGACTCACTTGCAAACTGCGGA